TGGGACACTCTTGTGCGACACTCTTGTGGGACACTCTTGTGGGACACTCTAGTAGGAAACTCTTGTGGGAGACTCTTGTGGGACACTCTTGTGGGACACTCTTGTCGGACACTCTAGTAGGAAACTCTTGTGGGAGACTCTTGTAGGACACTCTTGTGTGAGACTCCTGTAGGACACTCTTGTGGGACACTCTTGTGGAACACTCTCGTGGGACACTCTGGTAGGAAACTCTTGTGGGACACTCTCGTAGGACACGCTTACACTGTTGCGGGACACTCTTGTGGGACACTCCTGTGGGACACTCATTTGGGACACTCTTGTGGGACAGTCTTGTAGGACACTCTTGTGGGACACTCTTGTGGGATACTCTTGTGGGACACTCTTGTAGGACACTCTTGTGGGATACTCTTGTAGGAGAGTCTTGTGGGACACTCTTGTAGGACACTCTTCTGAGGACACTCTTACGGGACACTCTTGTGGGACACTCTTGTGCGACACTCTTGTGGGACACTCTTGTGGGACACTCTAGTAGGAAACTCTTGTGGGAGACTCTTGTGGGACACTCTTGTGGGACACTCTTGTCGGACACTCTAGTAGGAAACTCTTGTGGGAGACTCTTGTAGGACACTCTTGTGGGAGACTCCTGTAGGACACTCTTGTGGGACACTGTTGAGGGACACTCTTGTGGGACACTCCTGTGGGACACTCATTTGGGACACTCTTGTGCTCTTGTGGGACAGTCTTGTAGGACACTCTTGTGGGACACTCTTGTGGGATACTCTTGTGGGACACTCTTTGTAGGACACTCTTGTGGGACACGCCTGTATGACACTCTTGTGGGACACTCTTGTGGCACACTCTTGTGGGACACTCTTGTAGGACACTCTTGTGGGACACTCTTATAGGACACTCTTGTGGGACACTCTTAAGGGACACTCTTGTGAAACACTCTTGTGGGACACTGTTGCGGGACACTCCTGTGGGACACTCTTGTGGGACACTCTTGTGGGACACTCTTGTAGGACACTCTTGTGGGACACTCTTGCAGGGCACACTCTTCGTACGAGACTTCCTCCAAAGGTCACGCTGCGAGGCTGCAAGACGAGCGTTTCGTATGAGACTTCCTCCAAAAGTCACACGTCAAGTCTCCAAAACGAGCGTTTCGTACGAGACGTCGTCAAAAACTCACACGTCAAGTCTCCAAAACGAGCGTTTCGTACGAGACTTCCTCAAAAAGTCACACGTCAAGTCTCCAAAATGAGCGTTTCGTACGAGACTTCCTCAAAAACTCACGCGTCAAAGTCTGCAAAACGAGCGTTTCTTACGAGACTTCCTCCAAAAGTCAAGCGGAACCCCCCATCGGAGCACACACATCACGCAGGCCTGCCAAGCAGTTTCGCGATTCCAGCCCCTCCAAACAACATCCGCTCACACGCCAATCCCAATGTGACAGCGACATTCACCTCTACCACAACTCACAACCTCACAATTCCCTGCACCTGCCACGAATCTTGCCGCGTCCACACGTTTAACGCGCACAAAGTACTGCGCCTGCCACGAAATGTCACCTCCGTCACACCTCGCAACCTCACGATTCTCTGCGCCTGCCACGAAAATCGCACTTCCACTCCTCAAAACCCGCACAAAGTCCTGCGCCTGCCACGAAAAGTGACAATATCATCTCATGTGAGCTTCAACAAAATTTGCACCACACCACACGTTTGGAATGATTTCGACCCGTTCTGAGCACACTCCCAATTTCAGCTGAGACTTGTCACGAAAACCGAGCTTCCATGCCACACCCTGAAACGCAAATCCCAATGGCACGGCCACATCCAACACCCCAAAAACACGACTCTCCAAACGCTAATCCCAATGGAACTGCGCAGCAATCTGCGGATCTCGCAAAACGCTGCGCCTGTGCAGCGAAATGCATCACGTTGCTTGCGCGACATGTCTTTTTCATGCAAATCACAATGGAATAGCGGCGCAAACTGACACGTGACACATCCATGCAAAGTCACTTGCAAAAGCTTCCCCCAATGGCAGCAAATTTGAGACGCGACGACGACGAGAGACGACGAGAGACGACGACAGACGACGACAGACGACGAGAGACGACGACACGACGCAAGCCACGCGAACACAGCTCCAACCCCCCAGACCCCCAACTATAAACGGGAACCCTTCGCTACGCATTCGGGAAAAATACTCCTGAGCCACGTCAATGCAGGCGTTGTCTTGGTCCAAGCAGGGCTCGAAACGATCCTCTTCAGGGCCCACCTCCACCTTTAACAGGCTACATGTTATCAGGAGCAGGAGTTCCCTGTGATTCAAGCAGCTACTACAAGATGATACCTCCCCTTCTGATCATGTAACTGCGCAGGAGCACGCCGCACGCGCCGCACGCCCATGCTCAGCTGCAGCCATTAACAAGGTCAGTTTGGATCGGGAATGCAAACCCAAACTGGCTCCAGCTTCACAACAAACAACCCTTCAAGCCTCACCCCTTCGGTTGGCTTGGAATAACTACAGCTGATATTTACATGTATATACCTCTACCCTACAACACGTGTTCACAAAAATTGTCCTGTGATCGGGTCCTAATCATCTCGTGAAGGTCCTCATGTACACATGTTCTAAGCCATTTTGCCCTCTTACCTGTGCATGAACTCATGAACTGAAAGCAAATTCACCCTTGATTGCTTCACAAGATCAACACCACAAGCTGCAGCTTCTACAGTAATTCATCCAGCCATTTTGGAGGTCCCACATGGTCCCACTACCTGTCTCTCTTTCTTGGTTTCCTTCAAGAGATTCCTTCAAGACACACAAACCGACCAAATCTCCCATCTCCGCTTCTCCAAACAACGCGCGCAGCTCCAAACAACTGCGGGCAAGCTACAGGTCGCACTCCGGGTGGATGTCCGGCTTATACTTTCCGCCCTCCGTCTCGCGCACGTTGATGTCCGCGAAGCGGAGCTTGTACTTCAAACCGCAGATCTCGCAGAGCCGGTCCTGGGTCGGAGGATGGTGACGAGGGTCGGCACTACGCCGCCTGGAGCCGGCCCGAGACGCGGCATGGGACGACCCCGCAGCCAAGAAGAGAAGAGATCCTAAGAAATTGCAGGAACTGGCCAAAGCTGGGTCACTGTTTCCTTTCCTGTTTTCGTAACAAACGTATTTGGAGAACAAAAGCAGCTTTCTTTACATGGCGTACTTACTTCATGTTGATTCTACAGGAGCTTCCCGGTTCTGGGCGGAGGCGGCGTGCTACAGACCTAGAATGTTTTTTGTCTTGGATCCAGTTCACTGTTTCTAAAATCCAGCACCACCTGCAACCCTGCTTTGAAAGGCACAGGGCTTTCTGAAGACCCTTCGATTGTGCCCATATAATGCCATCCGTCGATCGGCCCCGGTGTCTCCCCGGTGTCCCCACTCTCCTGGTCAATCATCACGGCGATGCCCTCCACATGCCTGGCCAACGAAAACATGCCTTGAAGGTGTTTTCCAGCCGGAGAAACATGGGCATCTCATTCGCCTCGAGATTAAGGCTTCAGTCGCCTAGGACTCCAATCAAACACCTCCTCAGAAGGTCTTTAGGCCCTCCAAACCCAGCTTCAAGACACCTTCGAAACGAAGGTACTTGGAGCCCTAGGGCAAGGATATCCAAGGATTGGGAAGTGCCGGACCTTGCCAGAACTCTTTCCACTGAGCTCTTCCAAGGCAACGGAAGAGTTCCGTGGTTGGGTCGCTATGGAACCAACTTGGATCATGCTCTCATACGCGGGGCAGCTGAAATCTTGGATGTGTCTTCTCCCCAGCAAGCTGGCCCAAGCTCATTCCATCGAATCTAAGCGGTTTGGATCCGTTCGGGTGAAGTTCTTCAGAACTATGCGCAGTCACCAGCTTTCTGATGTCTAGGTGTTTGATAGCACAAAGATGCACGTGAAGCACCTCAACATCTCCGAACAAAGCCTACATCTCTTGCCGGTTCAGCTGCCGGTTCCGAATGGGATCCAGCACGCCGAGGCAGGTGTTCGAAGGGACCAAACTCTACCCCTGGGTTCGAGAGTGATAGAGAGTTCGGGTGTCTCCCTATCAAAATATATAGAACACTCTCCAATTTGGAGTTCTACTGCCGATTCCACGAGGCGACCTGTGGTTCCCTCTGTGTCTTCTTCTTCGAATGGCAAAGATGTCCGATTGGCTCGTGAAGGAGGATAGAGCCAATAGTGTTACAGTATATATAATATGTGATATAATATATTATAATAGAGTTCAAGGATTGGTTAACGGATGTTAAAGGTTTCTCCCGCTTGAGTTTATTTTGCCTCGAGTGACTTACCGGTTTACTTTCAGGCCGGGAGGGGGGGGACAAGTTGTTTCGCCTATCTGACTTGGGAGGTGTCGTACGTCGGAACATTTTTTAGGTCGAAGGATAGCTGGAGAGCTTTGTCGGTCCGGTGTGCAAAAGTGTCTGATATACCATGACCGATGATGGACCGACAAAGCTATCCTTCGATGATGGAATCATCGGTCCGGCTTGTTTGTCGGTCTGATCATGGAATGAGAAAAACTCTTTTCCCATGCGGAAAAAATGAAATCCACCATTTCACCTGAATGAGAAAAGCGCGCCTGCGCTTCTCCCGCGCCACCTGCTTCGCAGGCAAAGCTGAGTGGCTGAGAGAACTCATGAAAGAAGTGTATTAGATTATTAGATTGTATGTCAATATTGTATAATATTGTATATTTATCAATTTCAATATGTACTAAGACTATATTATATAATGTTACACTTCTATGATAACTTCTATGTTTGTTCAAGGCATTGCAATAAGACATGTCAATACATTTCTTGTACTGAGAGTGAATTTTGTCTTCCGAAGCGCCTTATCCTCGCACTCTCGAATCCCCTTGTCAATCAAGTGTAGGAGATCATCTTCATATCTACCTTAGCATCACGCGTTTCGAGCAAAAGTACGAAACGACGACTTCACAGGTGCACGCGTCACAGAGTGGGTCGATCCTGCTCCCCTCTGGTTCAATGAAGATCCACAAAAGAAACATCTGAGAAAATCTGGTTGGTGGTTTGAACTCACTTGAAACATAATATATCATAGTAATCATAGTATACGATTAGTCAGTGGGATCAATTCTCTCAATTACTAAAAATAGCAAACAAATAGCGACAGCAGCACGGGCAGCACCCTCACGACATCCGGGAGATCGCCCACCGTCGTGGTGCCGAAGTCATCGGTTCCACCGTTGTGGTGCCGATGGAACCGATGCCAAAGGCCAAGGCTGCCTTTTGGAGCTGATGGCCCATGATGGGGCTGATTACACCGTATTTTTTTAGTCGTCTCTTTTTTATTCGGAGCAAACAGAAAGGTCATATTATGACACGCCAAATCCAAAGCATCACCAGCATCAAGACGTCTAGAAATTGACAGAAACTCAATTATTTTGGCGTGAACAGGTGTTGTGTACGCGACCTGAAACTAAATGGATACTTAGTAGATTGAACATGAAGTTCAGGAATCTCTTACCCTCAGGATCCGAGCCAGGTAATACACAGCGAGCCTTGAGATTTTTCCAGGGATTTGATTTGAGTATTTGGCCCCAACAAAAACTGAAAACCGTTGCTTTCAGGGCGGCATCTGGGTCTTCATTTGCTTGTCCTCCTCTTGACTGATTCTCAAGATGACTTCAATTGTTACACACAATGCATCAGGGTATTCGGTCGTGTTCTAAACAAAGAGCCGGATTCCAGCTTCTACCTGTGGTGGGTCATAGAAGGAGGAGACCTTGTGCTGGAAGCTCCCTGCTAATCAAGCGGACAACAAACCCACCTAAAAGGGATATGTTGAGAGTTCTTCACAGTCAGAATTCTGACTGGTGCTTACAGTAGTAGGGAATAAGGCGAATGAGGGAATGAACTTCAACCCTCACTATGTGTGTCTTAGGATCCCACTCCAGACCCTTACTTTCGTCACACCAGACTTTGGAACACTGAGATTCTTCTGAGTCTTTAAGTCTCAGTGTTTGGAACACTTCCAGCCGACTTCCTGACTTGGTTTTGCGTCAGTCCGATAGTCCCGTTCTTTTGGCGGTGCAGCTTAGCTGCGCTTGTACTTCTCATAGTCTTTGTGTGCTTTGAATTCTTCTCTCACCCCAATCGAGTGGAGTTTATTGCCTCAGTCAACGGCGCACCAGGCAAAAGCGCTGAAAAAGCTCCCCGAATAAGCGGGCAAACATGACCAACCCAATCCAAAGACCAAAGCCAAAGAGGGGAAACAGAACGACCATCTTATGCATGCTCTATGTCTCTATTATATTCCCGGAGTGACCTACATCAAAAAAGATCTGCAGAAATGAAGATGATCTGAAACAAAAAACTTACCCTTACCCCAAGGAATCCACGCAATTGTGTACTGAGCTAAGGAGAACCCCCCAGTTTGACGCCCGGCAAGACAAAAAGGACACGTAGACTACAACATAGCGTTTGGAGGGTCTTCCGTCCAATAATTATCGTTCTCCAAGGTTCAGTACGCTGCAACCCTCTCATGTCTTTTTCCCTCCGCCTCCCCTCTCCTTGTCCGTCAGAACATCCACAAACACCCTGTTCGATCCAACGTATTCGATCCTTTTGGGAGCAAATCATCCATCTTCCTTCAGCCTGAAATGGCTGCGCTGGGTTCGTTTCACACTGATATTTCGCCAGTTGACCAGTTGATAACGAGTCCGCAGTCTCAGCGCTTCCAAGGACCTACCTGGTGTCGGAGCTCACTCCAACTATCCTTGGAACCCAGCTGCTATAGGGATTTGAATCATGAATCCAAAACCAGGGGGGTCCCAGGAAAGAGGCTTCCTCCGGTGTCCGGTGTCCTTCGCTGTTCGGTGCCGTGTCCTTAAGCTCCGCTGGGCGCTTCCCGCATGGAGCAATCACGCTCTTGGGGTCGAACTCCGCACGTAACTCGGAGCGGCGTGGAGCGCGTCTCACCGTCTCACGTCTCGGTGGACCAAGCGGCCCGCGGCCCATGCGGTTTGGAACAGCGTGGCCCCTGGTGGGTCCAGGTTGAAACCCAAGAGGTGAATGGTATAGAAATAGAAAGGTACAGAATGGCCACTATATGTTTTTGATGGGTTTTGTGTCTGACTCACGTGCCCTTTTGAGGATCTCAGGATCTGTGGGTAGGTATTGTGTTGAAGTGGGAGTTTGATGAATTCTTCGGTCCAGCATGCAGTCGAGAGTAGCATAATGAGTGCCTTCTGGATCCCTTTCTGAGTGCCTGTGGTCTAACATGGTCTAAGTGCATTTGCCAAATCTGGCAAGTCCTTTTTTAGGAGTCCCTTCTGAAGGAACGTCACCATCGACCCCTTTCAGTTCCAAAGACCCTGAAACATTGTACCCTCTACCAGTGGCCCTCAAACCCATCAAACATAGAGGTATTTTCATACAACAACTATTCTTTTTGTTGAGGAAATCCATGGAAAACCAGGTCTTTGATGGTTTGTGGGGCCCTTGGTATGACATAAACATGGACATGGGCTGATGGTACAAACAGCGAACAGCGGGGCCCATGTAAAGCGGGAAACACCACACCAGGAGCTCACAAGCAGCCATCAACATGGTTGCAACACCATTACAAAAACATCAGACTTGCCAGATTCCATGCGGACCCTTTTGTTGAAGGAAGCAATACTGCACACCCGGAGTCACAACTACACTAAGCACCTAGAAAAATGTTTTTCTCATCATTCTCATCTGCTACCAGTGAAATTTCCAGGAAACAGCAGTGGCTCCTCAAGATTGACATTGTTCCAGTTCCAGTCTACCCTCCAAAAGCCAAACCCTGTGACGTTTCGATTCCCCACGAGGCATGGAAAATTTGCATCCCAAGGCCTCCAACCCAAGCTATCTTAGTTATCAATCCCAAGCCATCACTCACACCCAGCCAGGACCTCCACGCCACCCTCTCCACGCGCACCGTCTCCGGGGCCCCCGGGCCGATTCGATCTCCCTTCCCAGCGTTTTGCCGGGACAGTAGCCCACCAGAAAGAATTTGCAGTAGTCGTCCTGGACGGATCCGGTTGTCGTCCGGTGTTTTGGAAGGATTTGGTGAAACAAAGAAACATCGGTGATCCCTGTCTTTTGGAACAGAAAAAGACCCAATGTAGGGGGATGGAAACCCATAGAGAAAAGATCCATCACCGCAAAAATCCGCAAAACCCGCGTTTTGGTCCTCTCGTCAGATCCAACGACTGGGAGTTCTGGTCTTGACTGTGTGGCATTCCGGATGAAGAGGCGAGCTGGGCGGAGACGTCGTAGGCAAGATGGACATCGTCTTTGTTACTAGCAGCGATGCCCTTTGTTACTTGTAGCTTCTTTTTCCTAGTAGTAATGCCAGGTGCTACTAGTAGCTTCTTGTTAATTAAACTTTTGGGAGCATAGCGATTTGTGAGATGACCACAAGAAGAAACAATGAAAGGCCTAGGTCCATCAAATCTGTTCATCCGCAAACCACCAGTGGGTCCACCAGGAACATAATACCAAGGATGGTTCACAAGGGTCGCTTCGTCCTCTCTTGGACACTTGTTATCCCTCTATCTAGGTTTGGTTCGCTGCAGGATCTTTGGAACCAAGTTCCTTGTGAACCAGTAGACATGCTGACGGCCTACGTATCATGAGGTAGTCACCAGTGGGTGTGACCGTGGAGGTGTCGGTCAACAAGGTGGAAAGCAAATACAGTACTGTATACAATTTTAATTATTGCATAATATATAATATATATACATATTATATACCTGTACATATATATATATATATATGAGCAATTAATAGCAATTGTATATGTATATATTTTCTATATATACCACCAAGACAGAATTCTGAATGGCTCCTTCTGTGCTGTGAGCTCCCATGTGAGGCTGTTTGGGAGTTGGGAGTCTCAATCAGTTGTGACATGTGGCCGATGGCTGGCAACTGCTGAGTATGCAGTCATCAGTGGATGTGTTCAAAGCAGGAGGACTTCAAAAGCGGGCAGCGCAGCGCGGTTTCTGGGCTGTTTTCTCAACAAATCCCGTTCAGAAGTTTCTCACAATTTGATTGGTGTCTACATATGTCTACAATAGACTTGATCATTTGATTGCAAAACCAAACATTTGAAATTCACCACATATCCCAGTCCTTCTTGAACTCTGGCTCACCTCAGAGGAGGACATGGAGGGCTTCTTGGACTTGGATGATCATGATAATCTCACTTAGCTGGTCGCGTTGGGCCGTTTTTGCCTCCAAAGTAGTTGGATAGTAGTTGGTTGCTTTTGGACATTCTCTACCATGAACGCCCTAAACAGTGGAGCAATGCGAGTTTCAAGCAGTCCTTTAAGGACCATGAAACATCATGAAACAGCATGAAACACCCCACGAGCCAAAAAAGCAAATAAAGTAGAACCAAGTTGCTTTTTCCATCTATATACAAAGAAGACCCACACATACCGATTTGACCAGGTTGACCAAACATGTCGTACATACCCTAGACTTGGACCAAAACAATGACCAACATGCACTCACATGCCCTATGACCATGTTGACAGTCTCTCCACCCTAGTAAATGGAAAAGACAAGCAACAAAACCATTCATTGCTGCGGGATTGTAAAGCGTTCACCAAATCTATCGCTTGAGGGTCTCACTCTTGTAGTTTAGTTTACACACCCAAATGGCGGTGCGCAGCTCAGAAACGCCCGTGCAGAGCCCTGCCGCCCAGAAGCCATTGACCTTCCCCTTCTTCGAGACATCTCGATTGGTGCCTGGCGTGGAAGCAGAAAGACGAGTTCGTAAAGATCGATTTTTGCAGCATATGGATAACTACTACTGCCCCAAAGGTGGATTATGTGATGTGTAATGTTTCTTTATGATGCTGTTTTGCACATTCAAGAGTTTCTACTAAACAGAAGATTGGCCGATGCCACGAAAGCTAATCCCTTTCTGTCTCAACTCATGTGTCAGTTGTGGACCACCTTTGGCATTCTGAGACACTGCGCACGCCAAACGTGAGTCCGAACATGTCTGGTTCCCATGTTCCATCGATGTCTCGGGGTCCACCTCACCCACCGCAGAGGTGCACTCCGAAACCGAGTTGTTTCATACCACACTCCATTCCATGGCACTGGCATACTTACCTATATTATGGGACAAGGGAGTGTGTGGGATAGTTTTATAGGTGTTTTGGGGGGGACTTCCAGCCATGCAGTATGTAAGCCTGCACTGGTTGATGTCCAAGTCACCCATGAGGGCATCGAGAAGGGCTTTGTTGCGGTTCATGGTGTGCACGGGACTGCGCTGCTGTCCACCAAATCAAGAGAATTCCTCAGCTGTGTTCACAGGGGGAAGTGAAGGTGTATACAACGTGGCTGTTAGCCAATCTCCAACACGATAGCAAGTTTGGAGCCTCTTGTTTGCTCAAATGAATTCAAAAGGAGGGTGAAGTTCCTGTGAGCAACCCAGAGAAGCTGATCAAGAATACAAAAACAGAAATAACATAATTATCATGATATATTATCTCATGTATATCATGTATATTGGGAAGGAGCACCCACCGAATCATACCAGGAAGGTCGATACACATGGCGCCATCTGGGTCCAGTTGAGCAATCCTCTCTCTACTCAGAGGGAAAAAAAACGTTCAAAAACACTTAGTTCAGTGGCCGCCCGTGTCTGTTCTTTGGGTCCTTCCATCTAAAGAAAATCACGGTCTCCACATCCCTTTATTTGAAGAGGAGTTGCACAAGTTTCCTGCGGAGCTCACCTGCAACTTCATCGGTCGACGAGAGCGGTTAGACTAGTCAGACCGCAGGTCGACGAGAGCGGTTAGGCCCCAAATCTGGTAGACAATCCCGTTTTCCATCAGGTGAGCCAATCGGCCTATGAAATCAATGTGTTTTCTGGTGGGGGGTTGTCATGGCCAAAAAAGAAACACGTCTGAACTGGTTCCCGAACTCAAATCCTCCAGACTCCCGAGGGTCGACGGAGGAGACAAAGCGTCCGCCTCCGCCTCCGCCATCGATGCGAAGAATTGGACCAGATCGCGGGAACCCCCAAAACGAATTGGCCAATCCCGAAAAGTCAGAATACAACATCTGCGGATCAGAACGAGTCTGCGAGTTAGCGAATTAGAACTTCTAGCCTTCTTAGAATTGGAACTTTCCATACCACTTGTGTCAGGCTATGAGGTTACGCTGGATGTAGCTACAACGGTTCATTTCACTCGACCTCAACATGCAACAATCAGGTCATTTGGGCTAGACTGGTGGATTCCGCGAACTCTTAGGTCGCATCCGAAATGCCGAAACATCGACGGTGTCAAAAGCTTCTACCTCAAGCTCAGTTGTCCATCTGATGTTTCTTCGTAATTACATGGACCTAGCTCCATGTTTATCCGTCCAGTTCTGTTTCCTTCCACAGTTCCCTCATTCCACCAGACCCCGACCCTTTCGGTCCCTCTGGTCGCCAAGTAGCTGACAGGCCGTGTTCACGGTGCCTTGGGACCGAAATCTGTTGAGACAAACCAAGACATGGACGGCCGGGAATGCTCATCTGCCCATCTTTCAATATCTTTGGTGGTTTTTTAAAGGAATGCCATGGTGGGTGGATTGGCCAACGGGCCAACATCTAAAAACCAGAAGTGATCCTTGCCTTCTGTGGAGTGCTTAAGGCTCAAAGCTCAGATTCAAGCCAGGAAGCGTCAGGAAGCGCTTAGCTTCACCCTTTCATTCTAGGTGTTCATGGATTTTCTACTTGGCTGTGGTCCCCTTCAAGAAGTTCCCAGTTGGTTTCTTTTCAGGGCACTTGCTCAAAGTCATGCCACCTGTGTTGTTTCTGGCTAAGCATTATATAAGCATGCGAAGCCTGGGAAGATCGAGCTCTTCCAATGGACCTGGTGATCTTCCATTCCCTGGACCAATGGACCTGGCTGGATGAGTCGCCGAAACACACCCTCCGGAACACCCCAGGTGGAACCGGTGAGCCCAGGCACCGAGCTCCGAGCACCGATCACCAGGTGCGGTGAGACCGAGCCATGCTGAGCCAAGCGGTCTCGGCAGGTTTGGCGTCGACCGGGACCACGGTCCGCTCGGTGTAGTGATGCCCTTTGTTCCTAGTAACTTCTTGTTACTAGTAGCGATGGCCTCCAACCTAATAGCGATGGCCTCCAACTTCGTAGCTTCTTGCTACTAGTAGTAATGAAGAAGAAACGACTATATAGTAGTTTCTTGCTCCTGGTAGCCATGCCATTTGTTCTGGAACGGGTGAGAATGGTGGGACTTTGCAAGGGTTGGGGGTGACCCTCGTCTGTTCATACACACAACTCCTCTGCTTTCAGGTCACTTTTTGGCTTTTGGGAGGAGCAAAAGACTGGAATAAATCTTGCACGCACAGCTCGAAACACTGGTGTCAATCATAAACTCCTTCGTGAAATGGTCCTTATAAATAGCAGCTGTCAAAAGGAAAGGTCAAAGTATGACTCCAAATCGGCCCCACATGCTTGATACAATATATAAAATATACCTAGACCCTCCCGAGGTAATTATTTTTGCCGTAAGCTGTTGAGACAATTTTTTTGCCGTAACTAATTTGTCTGCCGTAGCTCAATCCCTAGAAAGTGAAAACGGCGCCAGAGAAGTGAAAGCGCCGTCACAAAAGAAGAATCGCCGTTTTGTTTGATCTACCAAAGAGGATATTGTTACTTGCAAGTTAGAGTTCATCGTTTTCAAACCTCATGGTAGCACTTCTCCAGATGTTACAGCCCTTGTCTAAGGTCTCGATTGACATCACGGCAGGATTTGTTCACATTTTGATCACGCAATGGCTGAAACAATCGATTGTGACAAGTCTTTCTGCCACCTGGAGCGTCCTTCAGAGAGGGTGCGGGGAACAACGCCATCAGTAGGGGGAGAACGCCGTAAGTACGTGGAAAACCGCCGTAACATTAAATGCTAAGTCTTCTGCAATGCCGCGCAAGAGGTCGAGTTACTCACGAAGCCGACGAAAACCCAGCATGTGACACTTCCATCAGCTGCCTTTTCCACTTCACACGACTATGCAAATTTGCTGATATAATTAGATAGGTTCAGTCGCCTTTCACGCAAAACCCTACAATGTCTTCATACTCGCCTGCACTAAAAGGAAATTACTCTTTGAGGCGCATGGATGTGTGGACCAAAATTGCCGTCAACTGATCGCAACTGCCGCAGTTCATCAAGAGACGCCGTCCCCATGAGATCAATATCAGAGAACGCCGCAGGATGGAAAAAGGCGACGTTGCATGAAAACGGCAATTGTATAATGCCGCAATATAACGTAGTTCTATAGCATGCTTCATGCTTCATATTCAATCCACCCATCCGGAGCCACTGGACGACCACACGACGGAGCATCACCGGGGACATACCGGGGCCCGCTATGGTTCAGGGTTCGTTCGCGATCCAACGCAGGATCTGTTACAGTAGGATATCTGTTGAGTCGAGGATCATGAAGTTCTCGATTGCTGTAGAAAAAGAGTTCGGAGTGCTAACTCTTACACGGGAGAAGCATGTGGACCTGCTACAGTGTGCTGCCTTTACGGGTTGAGAGGTTTTTAATACAGTTGAGATCAGTTGAGGCATTGATGGCATAGGACCATGCCATCACAACTTGTTTTTGCTCCGTCACCTGTCAATTCCACGAACTCCTGTCCCTAGGGCCCCAGGGCATCCATCAATCACACCAGCGACACACCCAATCGCATGACGCACATCCTCATAGAGGACGTCGATGGCTGTCACCAGTGCCTGTGAATTCCGTTGCGCCGTTGCGTGCGGCTTCGATCTGTCAGTCTTCCAGCCGGCCGCCAACAGGGACCGTCCGTGACAAGTGTCAAATCATCCAAAATCGGCTGGTTTGGTGGATGACCCCAACAGCAAAATCACCCCTTTGGCCTGACCACGCCCAAGTGGTTGGGATCGGCGAAACACTTCGCAACAGCTCCCCATTGTACGTAATGCCCAGCCGCCCAGCCTGCGCGCATTCCTCGTGGTTCCGGGCGTTTGCGTTCTCGGCAAGCTCATCAGCTAGCAGGTAAAGGTACTGGCAGCATGACGGTGACGTAGATGGTCTTGAATGTGAAAAAAACACATGTCTGACTGACAGCTGTGACTATTTTATACACGTTTAATGTTCGGCTCGGCACAAATCCAAACAGTAAAGCTAGAGTTGAGACTGAGGTAGACACGCAGCTACATCTGACATCATGGTCTTGAATCTCTCGGGGTGATTGTTTGAGCAAACACCATCAACATCATCAGCTATATAACATGCCCCGATTGCCCTCGGCTGCTGACGTACGCTATTTGGTTTCTAGTCTAAATGGCCCTTGACACGTCCATGAGGGGCATGTGTGGTGATGGGGTTGGCGCATGGCAATGACGATGGCCCTAAAGCAGACCTACACAATGTGGAGGAGCTCCTCCAACACCTCTGCAATTTGGAAGGTCAACCTCCTTGCATGGATTAACACTTGGATCTTTGTTGGCTAATTTTGACACAAACATCGAAGATCAACACCCAGTGGTTTCGACTCTGCAGGCTCCCTTGTTGGAGCAAACAAGATTTGGTGTGTCCCACAAAGCATTGGGTGAAGAATATCCCACCTTCTCCGCCTTGATGGCATATGTATGCAGATTGGCTCTCATAATGTAGGATGTAATAGGATGTAGGTTTTTAGGGAGGCCACGGGGTTGGCCGTCTCAGGGACACATCAGACTTTGCCTTGAGCTTGCGTGGTTGCTTTGTGTGCTTTGTTGATTTGTGTACCTGGTCCATTGTTTTGCCCGCTGTCCCCCCAAGGGGAGCCTTCAGCCCATTTACGCCAAGAAGTATATGGGGGCTCACCGAGACACAAAGAAAAAGAACGTCCCTGCGGTCCCTGCGTTCTCCTGGTTCTTGTCCGGACGATTCCGGAGCCTTGCATACCTCAGATGATGTGGGTCCACAGACTCGATTCAAAAGAAAACATGGGCTGCCCGACTGGAGGGTCAAAGTTTAAGATCTCTGGAAACCACTGTGAGGTGTGTTCGGTTGCAGGTTACCTTCCTGCAAACGGGAACTCGGATCATCCGAGTCAATGTCTGCAACTTCACCCGTGAAACCTTTGAAACATTCATTGCACGTCGTTTCGATGCAAACAGCAGCCGGAAATGAGCACTGTAAAGCTTGCATTGTCCCCCCAGCAGTCGGTGAAGCATTCCCAGTCACTAATCTCGTGAAGGGTTTCTTGAAGGGTTTGTAGCAAAGCGTTCTTGACCTGGCTTGCGCATCGGTCAAAGCCTTCCTCGCAACCACGGTCATCATCTGCTTCCGGGCGAAGCCGTTGCGATGTCTGCTTCGACGTGGATGCAGCAGCAGCAGCAGCAGCAGTAATATATTTGACAGGGATCGGGATTTGTGCATGATATTGCCACACTGTTGGGCGACCCAATAGCAGCGGCCCAAACATGGCCCAAGAATTTCCCGCAAAACGCAGGGGCTTTCAGTGGGCGACTGAACCCCTCGACAAAAAACAAAGGTGAACCGAACGACCTCCACCTGTTCGCAATTCCCCTAAAAATATGTTTGCAGGCTATCCACTTTTGGTAGGTCAACCAGTGCCTCCAGGCATCTCCAGGCGCCAAATGAATCGCATGGAACCACATGGAACCATGAATGAGCTGCAGTTCCCCGTTCCGCATGCAGCAGCATGTGCACATCACATGGACAACACTGGACTTGGTGGCTGGGCGATGAAAGGCCATCCAATGTGTCTCGAATCACCCTCTGATCAGAGGTATGTCGGATCTGGCGTATAACGCAGCAATGTGGAAGGCCTCCGGATGGACTCAATGGCCCATGCAACAACTCAGGAATGGGTGTTTGATGTGTTTTGTGGCAATGCAGGCGGTCCCAACCCAGGGGGTTCTCCGTTTCTGTGGGTTTCTATGGGTTTCTTCGCACATCGGTAGTCGGGAGACACCCTGTAAACTCACAACGGATCGGTAGATGTTCTCCAAATGGCTTTTGTGATGTTCATATGATTTCATACCCCATGGCGACATGGTTCCACGAACAGCTGAAGTTGCAAGAGGCCAAGTCGCATGAAGGCTGAGCAGCTGAGGACGTACAGTGTAGTATCGAATCCCCAGGCATCAGGGCCTTTTTACATTGGTGAGCACAACGCTGCTCAAGGATGACCGCTGCTCAATCAAGTTGAACTTTCTGAAGGGCTGATAGAGGTTGATAGCTTTCAGGGAGAGGTGAGACTTTGGTCAGCTTCATTTGCATCTCTTAATCGTCGCAACCCCTCCTTTTGGTCGTCCATGTTGCAGCACCTGGTCGTCCAACTGGTCATCTGTTGTATGGAGGAATCCCATGGCATCTTTCAAGAAGCGAGGTTATGCGGCAAGATAAGATGAGCCTCGCTTGTTACCCTCTGTCCAACAATCACGGAAGTGGACGTCCTGGCCGCTGGCCCCTGGAAAGAGCATTATCTGAATACCAAACAGGGGCTTGTCCACTTCCATGTTTGCTCCACTTCCATGTTTGTTGCAAGAGTTGCTTCGATCAGCTGAGTTCCCCCGGCTTTCCAGCAAAGTTGGGGATTTCGCCCTCCTCAAGAACACCACGCACTCGAACCCACCTCAGCATCGGCGAGTCGAACCCGGACGTCGGGCCTGAAATCGGAGACGGTGTTCACCGCGTTTTCGCAGGCGGTCTATCCGATAAACCTTTGCCCAGCAGAACTGAACTGTGAGTGTGAGACACCATCACCGAGTTGACGCTTGGACACGGACCGCCGGTAGGAGTCGATCTTCTACAAAGTACGCTAGTAAGGGCTATTTGGGATTGTCCACATCCGTTGTTTTTGATCCTTTTTGCAATTCTGAGCGGCCAAAAAGATTCCAAGTTTCACGATGCTTCACGTTTTTGCCTTTCTGCTGCCAACGCATTTCATCCCGTGATCCCTCCCTTCACGCACATGCCTGTGCCCGGCGCCAAGCGCCGCCCGCCACGCCGCTCCACATCCCGTCGGCACCGAGACGCGTGGGGACTTCAGGGCGCGTCGCGCGCTCGAGGCGGTAGGTGGGCAAATGCCCTCGGTTCACCAGGACCGTGGAGCCATCCTGCCCGAATCTGCTTCGCTACCGAGGGCCCAAGGATTCTTTAGGGTGGACGGTTTCCGAGCGAAGCGGATTAGAGGAGCCTAGCTCGTGTTAGGCCAATCTGGTGAGACTTGAGCGGCGGGTTGGAGGGGGCGGGTTGGCCTCCAGGTGGTGGATGAAACGTAATGCTTCCAGAAAGTGGAGTTTGAACAGGCGGAACGGGGAGTTTAGGGACATCAAGAAAGTTGAGTCTGGGGACATCAAACATGTGGACAATTTCCACATGTCAGATGTCCCCAAGCCGAACAACACGGCACTGCGAGTACTCTGTAATTACGGCACTGGGTTGCGAGTGAAGAGTTACTGGCAAGGAACGTGGAGATATCTACTCCTCCATACTCCTCCTAATTTTACCATACTCCTATATTTGACTTGGCTATTATTTGTGTTGCACCGTATGTCATTCGCACCCGACTGATAGGTTACGTAAGCTACGAAGATGTCAGAAATATGTTTAAGCCTGCCACTCACCCTAAAGGACTATCTTTTGAGAAGTGCTTTCATGAGATGGATATGGCAAGAGGCTCAACAAAAGAGGGGCAAGAAAACCTTTTGGATTGGATGATGTTTCTTGGAAATAATCGGATGTTTCAGACCCAAGAAAATGTACTCTGACTTACATGTTTTCTCGTTGTTTCTTTTTTTATTTTGCTATCCAAATAGACTTGTTGAAGGCTTCTTCTGCGGTCATGAGGTATATATGCTGGATGGCTGGAGGGTCGGGAGCGACCTGACCAGACCTGACCTGCGCAATTCTCTCATGCATTTCGATCATTGGATCGCTCTACGTACTACCCTGCAAAGAAGCAAAGAACCCTCATCACCATCAGAGTCAGCTGCCCCATTCAAAACGCTGCAGGTTTGGCTGCCAAAGGCCTCGCCGTTTGAAGATACACTGTCCTGTCAGGAATCTGAAAAACATCTGTGCTACAGTGGGAGTATGTCCTTCAATATTCATTTTGCTTCCGCCTATCGAGGCGAACGTCGATCTCCTTGGCTCGAACAGCTTCGTTTGGCAGCTCAAAGAGCAGCTGGTTGAGCGCTTTCAGCTGCCATCGCGGACCTTATGCCGATGGCACCTGGTGATCACGCAAAAACGCTCAACAAAGCCTTCCTGTCTCCGCTTCAAAACGAGCATATCACAACATCCCGCAATCGCTGAAAGCGGAAGCTGCCACAGTTCTTGATGTTCTTGGCAATCTCGGCCGCTGATGTCCACTCCATGGTCTTTTCAAGACAATGCTGCATCCTCCATAAGGGTGCAAATTATACCAGTGGGTTTGGTCTGTCTATTTCCCTTCTTCGAGGGGTTCTTTGGGAGGTCCATTTTTTCTACACCCCCCAATAATGACTATGGAGAGCTTCCGGAAGATTGCAGCTTCTCTGCTCGAACGGCCTTCGCCCTTTGGTTCCTGAGGCCTGCAGCTCGACCCCGTCCCCCACCGCGTAGTCGGTCCTCCAAGCGCAAAGGAGTCACCACCAGCACCCCAGGCACCGTCTCACCCATGTCATCGGACCCGGGACGAGGACCCACGTGCATCTCCTGGCGTCGCGTCGGTTCAGCCCCGCTCCGTTCGTCGCGAAGCTGGTGGAGGCCCTAGTAGCTTCTTGTTCCCAATCGGATCCAATCGGTTTTTATAGATGAGAATGCGACTGACTTGAAGGAATGGCCCCATATGAACGACCGACAGAATGTGTAGAGGCTATTATGAGACTATATGCATAAGATGCATCACAAACATTCCTATCAGTATCCGTGTGCTGTATGTGTGGTGCGGCAAGAACCTGGCCACCGGGGATTTCACACCGAACGAGTCCAGGTCGCTCCGGCCTGGTCATGGTCGAAGACTCCCCGCACCTGCGAGTGCGACACAGGGCACCACAGGGCCGCCAGGTCACAATGTGGAGCTGACCCTTAACTTTGGTTAGACACTGGTTCTTAGACCCCCCCCGCATTGGACTAAAGGCTGTCTTTAGCAGATGCCCAAAGCAGTTTTGGGCGGCCTATATCTGGATCTCCTATATGAAGGAAGTGGTCCAGAAGCTTCTGCCCATCATTTCAGCAGCTGCGAGTCTAGAGGCTGAGCCAAGTCTAAAGGCAAAATTTAAGGCGTACTTGCTTTGCTTTGCAAAAGTATTCTGCTCATTTCTGTCCACTTTCTGATCAAATGGGAACTTCCCCGACTCCCAGGGCCCGGGGAGTATCGGACCACACTCCACAGGGCTATTACTCTGGGCCGAGGAAGCAAAAAGGGTATGCCCGACTCATTTGGGGTTCTGCAAGATCCGTTTCCAGCTACTTGTCCACTCATCTGGGTGGCACATGGCGCTGCATATATGCCTCACACCTATCTATTCCCCTCCCATGTCAAACCCAGGTTTGGCCAATGCCCAGCCTTGGCACAGCCTCTTTTCTTAGCTTTTGGAGACACCCAAGATCGACCAAAGACCGGGTTGGAACCCCAAAGGAACTGAAGTGTGGCACCTGAGGGGGAGGTGTTCTTGCCACAGTCCAGACCAAGGAACCTACTTACGTTTTAGAGCCTGAAGGAGGGTGCTGGTGGATGCTGTACTTCCTGAGTTGTGAGCCAACGACTTCGAGTCATTCACCATGAATTCGCTTCCACCCAAACGGGAGGGACAAAAAAACATACCATGCAGCAAATAGCACGGACCATCAAGGTCCGGTGCACCATCTCTCATCTGTCCGTCTCACCCCACCTCCACCACTCGGTAGACGTAGTCCTGGACCTGCGTGAATCTGCTTCTCGAGGCTGAACAACTCGCAGTTCACCGGTTGAGTGACTTCCGAGTCGTTCGGGTGGTTATTAAAACCGAACTTTCTTACTGGATTTGAGTGGGAAACCAGTAATCCACAAAGGTTCATGGTTAGCCATTGACTGGGTAGGATGTGGCTCAAAAGATCACGAGTACCTGTGGGTCTTAGTCCATTTCTCCCTCTACATCAGTGAGTTTCGACCAGGTAATGGATCCAGGGGTCAGGTGTCGGATTTTGGACTGATCCAAGGCACCTCCATTTTGACGCCGAGGACGCTTCGGTTACGTGACGTGTCAGACTGGACCCTTTCTCCGGGACTGCAGGTCATTCACCACAGGGAGGCATTGCTTCTTCTAAACATGGATGGACCTCTTTGCAAAAGATTGCAAAAGAAACATCAAGATGTGGGCGCTTTCCCCCACGTGCAAGACATGTCAGTGAAAAAAACTGTGCATCCTTCTCCATTGGCATAGGTCACCTCCAAGTGCTCTCTGCATCCTTTCCTCGGGGACCCAACTCAAAAATTCCCCCGACAATTTGTCAAGTTCTTTGCGGGGGAAGAGCCCCAATCTCAAGTAATGTTCATTTACATATTCATAGTACGATTTGTTTTGCTATATCAAAAAAACACATGTGCGTCCTGCTTTTGCTTTTCGTGTCAGCCCCAAAACGACTCGCCCCATCGGCCTACTAGTCCGACGAGTCCGGAACGTCCGACGTCAATTGAAGCGATGCGCGGAACGAGAGTCCGAAGGTCGCCAGGCTCTTGGGCGTACCGGGTCGACAGCGATTCTATTTGCTCCTTTTCAGGTTGGGTGTTTGGGTGTGGATGGGGAGGGTCTAAGACGGTGTACCGAGGGCTCGGTATTTTGGAAGGCCGAAAAGGAGGGGTTGATTCACCTGGTCCTTTTCAGATTTCTTCTATATATCAACGTTCGGATGATGAGAATGGAGCTCGCAATGAGAATGTCCAATTGAAATTAGGAGGTTCGTGCAGGGTTGGCGTCAGTGCCCAAAAACACAGAGAACATGTAAAATAAAATCAGCAGTGGGCATGTACGACCTTTTCTTGCGAGGTTGAAGCTCACAAACAGCATCGTAGAGTTACCCTCAAAAGAACAAAAAGTCATACATACAGTACACTACAGCGTGAGAATACACGACCGCAACGAGAGTGAAAGTGAATTTGTAAGTTTTCGGAGATGCCAATCATTGCCAATCCCAAGAAAGGCAAAAGTTCAAGGTTGACCACTCACTGAGTAGAAGTTTGTAACAGCTTAGTTCCTATTTCCTGAGTTTCAGGCAGCCAAAACTTGTCTGTTGGACATGTAGGTCAAGAAACCACCCCAGCTTCTTGTTGCTTGATCAAAAAGTGATATTTGATCCACACCTCAAATCCCAATATTCCCAACACACATATATGGATGACTGCCCTTGCTTTGTCTGGCCGGATTGATGTTCAGTCGATTCCTACAATGGTTTGGAGACTCTGAGTTGTGAATTGGTTTGGAGACTCTGAGTTGTGAATTGGTTTGGAGTCTCTGAGTTGTGAATTGGTTTGGAGTCTCTGAGTTGTGAATTGGTTTGGAGTCTTTGAGTTGTGAATTGGTTTGGAGTCTTTGAGTTGTGAATTGGTTTGGAGTCTCTGAGTTGTGAATTGGTTTGGAGACTCTGAGTTGTGAATTGGTTTGGAGAGTGATCCCCAGATAGCTAGAACAGTGAAAAGTGTTCATCCCTCTATGCTAGCTTTGAGTGACCACAAAGTCGTGTCACCTCTATTTGTTTGAGGGACCCCTATTGCAATGAGCTCGCCATTGAAGCTGAACCATCTCCTCCCGCTCGAACACCATTTGCGAAACAAAGGATCCGGGCCTGATCGGTCCAGGGAAAGGGGCTGCCTCTCACCTGGCCGTTTCTGACGCACGAAACGAAGGGACAAAGAATGACAAAAATACAAAGCCTCAAGGTTAGCCACTCAGTTCCAAGGTTTAAGGCTTTTGGAGGTTATGTCCTTCACATCTCTAATTACATTGGAAGCCTTCCAAAACGGCTTAGCCAAATTGGTCCTAATCCCAGAGACTGTCGCCCATCCGTGACCATCGGGCTGATGTGAACCCCAATCACTTCACGCCTGGAATATCGACCTATACATTGACCAATATCTCTCCGCTCTCCTTTCCTCGCTGCATCTCTGCATGCTCTAGTGGATTGCCCACAGAGCGATTGCTGCTTGCTCACGGGTTTCGGTGGTCTGAGAATGGTCCTGTGCTCGCGCTGTGCCAGCGCCCCGTGGGCTGGGTATTCTTTTTTCAATCGGACAATCCAAAGAGTTGATTTTTGACGTGGTGTCACTGGTGGCCTGATCCAGAGAGAATCCAGGGTTCCAAGTGCTAGTGTAGCTTGATGGTTGGACCTTAGAATACCGATACCTTTGACACGTGGATGAATCTCAAGAACCGCAGACTTTACGCTCCATGGTTACAGTACATTGAAGTGTGAAGATCCAGGTGCTCAGGCTTGAAACGGTTATTTATGGAATTTTATGTATCTCACCATCTTGAGACTGTAGCAATGCCTTTACAACACAAGGTCCATTCGATTGGGCAAAAGGCATGCAATCGTGGTTTTCAGAGGAGTTGATACTGACGCATGAAACAACATACACCATGACCTCCGGGTTGGACCAAGAGAGTAACAGCATACAATGAGCTACTTGATGGTGCACCGAGCTACTTGATGGTCAAACATCACAGGGCCGGGCCGGGAAAAACTCCGACGCACCAGGAAAATGGGACGCACAGGTCCAGGTCACGTAAGGCTCCATGGTTTTCGGTGATCACTTCACACGTCTTTTTGGGACATGGACCATTGTATACTATGACCCAGGCACGACCCATGGGACTGCCATATATATGCCGACCCATTGACCCCCAGTCAACCACCCCAACTGATCGGCATATATGGCAGTCTCATGGAGTGTCTGGGTTATTGAGTGGCTGATGGAGAAACACTTCTGGAGAATTGCTTGTTGATTGGACCCACTCCCAAAATGCTTCCGGTGCTGGATTGGTCCAACACGCTTGGAGCCTCTGGGTTCTAAGTTGAAAATGTCGAGCTCAACTCATCGTCGACCTGCATAACCACTTCATCAGAGCCATCGTCGCCCATTTCTTCTTTGAAGATGGCAGGCGTGGCGGGTGTAGCAGGCGTAGCGGGCGCAGCAGGCGTCCTGCGATGGCAGAGAACTTCAAAAAGAAACCAATACAATAAGCTTTCCAGAATGTAAACTATAAACCCAATTTGCACATTGACGAAACTGTCTTCCCCTGGCTCACACGTTGGTTGTCTCTTGGATCAACCAACGAAAGGGTTCCAAAAAGCTAAGCGGAAGACAGGTCGACCAGCATCGGATGGCTGTGTCTCCGGCTGGCGGCTGCTTTGGGAAGATTCATGAGATCCCTGAGATTGTGCCGGAATTTCCATATGAACCAACCCCAAAGCGAGTGGGTGAAATTAGACACCTTCCTCCGCCTCTCTGAGATCCTGAGCTGTTCTAACATCTGAACAGGAACACAAAGCCACTCACTTCCGGCATCGATGCCACCACTTGTTGCGGGTGTTCGATCCGTGATCTGAGGCTCAGCTGTCGGACCATGGAAACCGCACAGGAAAAAGACATTGGCTTTCAGGATCAGGATCCCTATATTTTGTTCCGTGCAACCAGGATCAGGAGCCCCTCACTGACACTGCGAAAAAAGAAAAACAGATGGACTCCGGGACCTCCGGGACTCCCGATTCAATATGATGGGGATCGACCTTTCATGCGGGCGACGTGGAGACGTGGAACGGAGCGGAGACGCCCCCGCGACGTGGAGAGCGCTGCGCCTCATGAAGGAACCCATGCTCCAAGTACAGTAGAGAATCACGAGCCATAAAGCCCAAGGAATGGCAGGGAGCAGGCCAGTCCTTGGGAGGAATAGAATGAACCCTGAAGAAGACAAGGTTTCGCTACGTTTCACCTGTGAGATGTTGTTCTTGGCTTTTGTTCTTGCGACATATTCTTGGTGTCTGTTGATGTTTGCCGGGCCCTTTCTTGGACCTCTTACTGTTACATCGTAGGCAACCAACCCCTTCCCCAACTAGAACTCTTTAGACCTTAGACTATAGAAGAATTACATAAATTGAAAAGCGGTGCGCCCCCGTTTTGACCGCTCAGCTTGGGCCTAAATGCATGGCGTATACCTATGGTGTGCCAGCTGCCATCTAGTCGGTTGGAATCTGTGTCAATCCTAGCACGGCCCCCATGGCATCTGGCACACAATGCGCGCAAGGCTTCAGTGTACGGACACCTGCACTATTCGCTAGGTGCCCGCACCCTGGCTGATGAAAGCATGTGCTAGTCTTTCCAACATTCCAGATCTTTCGATCCAGGGTAAACTTGGTTTCCTGCAGGCGTCCCTTCAGTTCATCTTGTGCTTGTTTCTCACATTCCTTTGCCCGTTTCTTCCACAGTTCTGTGACTCCCCATGCTTGAGCCACATCTTCTGACATTCTCTCGATCTCCTGGGCTCGTTCATCACATCATTTCCAGCCACTCGGATGGCTTTCTTTCTTGCTTCATCCCTTTCTTCTTTCACAACTTCGAGTTCGAAACGTAACTCAGCACACATGTTGTACATTCTCACCACTTCACGTGATTGGCGATCACGTTCATCTCGAGTTTCTTTCAATTTCTCTTCTTGTTCAGCCACAGGCACTTCCAGGTGTACTATCTGCCACTGCATGTTCACCTTCTCTGGGTCGTTCTCGTAGTGTGGCTGTTCAGGTTGGGTTGTGACTTCTTGTACTTCTCTTCTCGCATGCGGGTCATCCGCGTCATTGTCTCCGACTCCTCCTTGTTGTTGCACGGGTTGCTGGTAGCCTCGTCCTCCACTGCACCATGCCTGTAGCATCTGCGCAGCCATCCGTGCCAAGCTCAAGGCCCCAACACTTGCTAAGCAGATCACGGTGATCAGTAGCCGAACCCACCATGCTTCCGTGCCCTCGTTCTCCTCAGTCTCATGCTCTCCAACTTCTGCACTCTGGCCACTTTGCAGCAGGGATAATGCGATCACCACTGCCACTTTTGCATTTGCTCCCAAGCTCTTGGCCATCTTGCCTGTATTCTTCTTCAGCTCCTCCTTCATCTTTATCTCCTGGTACTCGGCATACCCAATCTTCTCGTCATCCCCGTTGATCATTTTGATGAGATACTTCAGTCCACTCATCCTTGCTTTGCTCAGGATCTTCGCGCCGATGTCACTGGTGTTGACTGCTGTAGGAATTCCAGTGACCCTCAACTCTTTGGCACTCACTTTCTGTTGCAGCCATAAGAGTCCTGCAGCAATGTGTCGTCCGTCCAACACCTACTCGACCTGCAAGAGATCTAGCCGCTTCTTCAACTCGATGTCCTGCTGTGTCTGGTTCTGCCTGCACTGATAGCTCTTGCATCAATGCCAGCATCTGCTGATCTTCTTCTTCCTTCTTACTCTCCTCCTTCTGCTCTTCAGCCCTCCTTTTCACTCCTCTCTCCACTGGATGGGCTTCCTCTTGGCAATCTCCTGACTGTCCTTGTCGTTCAAAGCCATAGCTTCCATCTCCTGCGTCTCATTGTCTTCAGCTCGAACTGCACATACTCTCACATCCATAGCCAACGAATTCCTTTCCAGTGAGCCGGAATCTTCAGGTCCTTCTCCTTGTGCTCCACGTAGAGTCCTTGGCTGCCACGAGAAAGCACCCATCCTTGTTTGAGCAATCGTCCAAAGCTCATCAATGGGTGTGTCACACCCACACCCAATGCGAACTGCTCCACAAACTCCACCATCTCTCCTGTACGGGTGTAAGCCTGCAGTCGAAGCCGTCTGTTTCCGGCACTTCTGATAGCTCCTCCCTGGGCATCCATCATGCAAATGGAACGTTGATGACCAGGTAGCCCCACAGTGTAGTATTGCTCCATCTGCTCCCGAATCAAGCGTCATCACGACATTGGGAGCTTCATTCCTCACCATGCACACCTTCTGAATTTGGCCCTTGTCATCTCCGATTGGGCTCGTAGGGCATCACTTCCTGTTTCTTCCCTTGATGGAGTCCACGATGGCGTACCCTTATCATCACTTTGGCAGTTGTAGAAGATCTCCTCCTCATCCGAAGTCTCGTACTGACTCCGCACAGCCATGATGGGCAAGACCGTCTCCCCATCCTCATCTGCCATCAGCTCCTCAGGAGAATCGTCCTTCGTCAAGTCGAAGATCTCCATCGTGGCCAGTCCAGTTGGCGTGACCAATCTCACCCTCCTGACTCCTGCACGGTAGGTGGAGTGGGAATATGTAGTGGTTGACGCCCCACTCGTCTGGCCTTGCTCCTTGCCTTGCTGTCCGGCTGATGCAGCCTTGTTCAACTCGCGTCCTTCTTGATCTTCTACCTTGTTCACACGCTTCGGGCTCCAGCATTCCCGAGCAAAATGCCCGGGCTTCCCACAGTTGTGGCACACTCCACTGCCACCATTTCCTTTCTTGCCATCTTCCTTCCCTGAGCCCTTTGCATTCTTGCCACCCTTCTTGCCTCCATCTTTGGACCAGGAAGCCTTTCCCTTTGAACTCTTTCCTTTGTCCTTGCCCTTCTTCCCTTTCTTGCCACCCTTCTTGCCGCCTTTCGACCACACGGCATCGATCTCCATACATCCTCCTTGATCTCCTTGGTCCATCAAAGGCTTCACACTCGTCTGCAGGCCACCATCGCTGGACCATCGTTGGCTCACCTGCTCATACATCTCAATCCGCTGCCTCAAATCTTCAAACGTAGTGTCGTCCTGCAGCGTCATCTGTATGTGAAGCCTGAGGGTGGCGGGCAAGGCTGACAACACCGAGGCAATCTTCAGTCGTCCGGGTACGTCGCGTTTGCACGCGCTCGTACTCCCTGACCATCAAGTCATACTGTGGCAGCTGCTCGGTCACGGTCTTCGTCCCATCAAACAGTACCTTGTTCAGGGACTGGATGAGAGCCAAGGAGCGCTGCCTAGTCTTCGGTTGCAGATCCTTGGTGATCACTCTCCAAGCCTCGAGACCGTTCTGGTTTGCAACTCCTCGCGCTAATCGGAGCGGTCTCTGTTTCATGAGGCCTGTCAGGAGGGAGTACAACCGTTCTGATTGGGGCCTGACTGAAGGAAGTCCATCATTGATTGGACCTACAGAGGTTAAGTGACCTTATAGGACCCTACAGGAGTACCTATAGGATAGTCTATAGGGTTCTTCAACCTTTGCTGGGAGTCTCTTCCTTTTCGGCGTTCTTCATGTGGGACAGCATGGATGGATCAACTGCTCCTACAAAAGTCTCGAACTGAAATCTCCAATCCATCCATTTGTTGAGCTCGTCACCACGATTCTCTGGGGCAAACATCGTTGGGGGCTTCAGGTGTTTGGTGAATCCCGAACTCCGCTGACCATCGATCAGTCCGTGCAATGCCTGGACCAGCCCCTGCACCCCAGTCAAAGCACCCGTCGCGGGTGTAGCCGCCGCCCCACCAGTGCCGTCGGGCTCGGCAGTGTCCCCCATGCTACTAGTCCACTCGGGCTTTCAGTGGACCGTCAAATCCCCGGTGGCTTGAAACCCCAAAAGGGTACCTGGAGATGTGGGGGCTGCCCACAGAGCTCCGCTACCATGAAAAGCGGTGCGCCCCGGTTTTGACCGCTCAGCTTGGGCCTAAGTGCATGGCGTATACCTATGGTGTGCCAGCTGCCATCTAGTCGGTTGGAATCTGTGTCAAACCTAGCATAAATGATATACATGTTTTGTTTGTTCCAACCAAGCATGCTTGATCCAAAGCGGATTTCCCAAGATCTGTCCCCAACCCCTCAAGGTCGCCAAGTTGCCAGCTGTAGGGGTCGGTGTTGCTCATGACCAGGTGGAAAGAGAACCACTGACAGGTCAAAACCCCAAAAACGGGGAATGCTAGAATGCAGGAAGCAAACACACGCGGTAGGCGATCATACTCCACAGCAATTAACCACAAGCGCATGCTCACTCCTAGGATTTGGCCAAGCAGTGAGAGATGCTTAGCAGGCTTAACAGCTTAAAAGGGTAGATCAAAAGTAATCAAAAGGAAGTGAGAAGCCGCAACTAAAGGAAAATCATGGAAATCAATTCGGGACTCTTGCAGGACATTCCAGCAAGTTTGGGTTTTGAACTGCTACCTATATCAGGCTCAGGGGTGAGTGTTTCTCCAAGACTGTTCAGCACTTGACACCCAAGAACCCATGCAATATTGATGATATCCTCGCGCTCAGGCTCAGGATAAAGGTTATCCCACACCTGTCATTAAGAAATCCAAACACAAAAAATCGCTCAACAAAAGTGCCAAATGAATACCAAGTTTCTCACCCAAAAGAGCACCAGAATCCTTGGATGAAGCTGTGAAACAACATCGAGTCGAAGCAAGAAAACGCTCAATGCACGCCCACGGGACCCCCAGCGGTGAGCCAGCAGTCCGCACTGTCTAGGCTAAGCGTTTCCAACGTGAAATTCGTTTAAAAAGCAGAAGGGGGGCGCCATGGAGGGAGTGGTATACATTGCAGGAACGCGCACGTTTGGCGCAATCGGCTAATGAACAGCTTGCAAATCAGTGTGTGATCATCATCATCATCATCATCATCATCTGATTGCAGCAGAAACAATGCCACCCCTCCCCCAAATCAACAAACAATCGACTAAATGAAAACAAACACATCGAGCAAAAAAACATCTGAGACTTTCTGCCTGCCACCCCCTCCAGAAATTTCAGGGATAGATATATTTTTTGTGCGTGTGTTTCTTTTGAATGTCTCAGACTCTTGTATGCCCCCCAAAGACCCCTAGAGATGTGTTTAAACGTTTTTGGTGTCAGGCATTTTAAAAACCTATACCCCTAGTTCTTCCTGTCGCTTTCATTGTTAATTCCTTTCCCTGTGAACCAAAGGACTCGTTAAACTTGTTCGTTTGTAATTCATTCATATGAGCGTACTTGACTTTATGAGGTCGTACTTTACTTGTCTACAAGCACCTCTAAGTAGACCATTATATAGCAACAATTTGGCTCACAGGGATTCAGGGTTGGGATCACACCCTCCCTATGGGTCCAAAATGGTTGCTCAGGAGGTATGTGGGGGACAAAACCATCCTCCCAGAAAGTTGTGACTCAACACCATTCTCATGAGCAAGGTGTGGATACTTCCATCGTGGAGACCCCACAACAGCTCAACCAAATTTGAAAGATATCCATCCACAGGGACATGCATGATCCCTTTTTTCCTCACCACGGTCGCCGCTTGATGGACTCGATGGCGATGGGATCTGGAGATGAAGCACTATGAAGCGTGCTCTTCGAAAGAGATTCTATAGGCTATGCATCTAGCAATGTTTTATTTTCAATCCCTGCATTTGGCCATAGCGGCCATACCTAATTGAAACCATGCGCCAACACCGATGAAGGTGCCCTCTGGCATGATTATAGTGCCCATGGGTCGTCGCCGAATCGAACAACGTCGATGTCGACCGTATACATGTACATGTCATGACCTGGCTCAGAGGACAGCATCAGCGTGCTTAAGCATGTGGCCAGACACGTTTCGGGACAAGAACCATGCATCAAAGACCAATAGTCTAGGAGCTTCATGTTGCAGGTGGACCATGCATGACCATGCACAAGGCCAAAATTGCAAAGTCTATCACCAAAAAAATTCAATGACCTTCACCGGAGAGGTCTTGGAATGGAAGACTTTCAAAAGAGATTTAATATCTCGATAAGAGATTTAAAATGCAAAAAACAAAAACATGTTTGAAATGAAAATCTTAGCAACAATCAACTCAAAAAATCTCGAAAAATCTCAAAAAATCTCGAGGGGATAAAAGGAACAAATCATTTTAACAACTCAAAAATTTTCAAACAATCTCGAAACATGAGAAAATATGCAAAAACATAATTTCACATGCAAACTGGAGCGTGATATGACTGCTGCAGTCAGTTGTGTTCAGCTGTTAGGATAACTTCTCCCCAAGAAACACAATTTGATCAAACATGTTGTGTTTGAGGTGTTTTCCCAAAAAATAGTACCACTTTATAGAAAATAAAATAAAATGAAAAAATGTGAAAACATGTGAAAACATATTTTAAACTGTGAAAATATATTTAAAATTGTGGAAAATTGATAAAAACATGTGAAAAATGCAAAAAGCATAAAATTTCATGCGACCCTGCTCTGATCTAATCCTACTCTGATCTAGGTAGTTAATTTTTTCTGGTGAGTCTAGGCCTATCTAAACCCTAGGCAGCTTCGATTCCCATCGATCGATTTTGCGCCATGCCGGACTCGAACCCGAGACACCGTGACGGTGGAAGTTCTTCAGGCTTGGTTGACTATCGGATTGGGGGAGTGGATTTTACCGTGCAGCAGCTACTCCCTTCACGGTGCTTTGCCCATCGACACCCATCACCCATCGCCCTTCGGACCCGGACTACTTAAACTGCCTAACTGTGCCCACCCACCCTCCGACCGAGCACTTTTTGGACTCATGGGTGGGGTGGAGCGGATTTGACCAGCCTAGCTTTTGAGGGTGGATATGAGCTAGCTGATAGATAAAAAGCACGCATGGTTCACAGGATCCTCGAATATGTTTTCGATCGATTCCAAGTGCGCCTGGACAGGAGTTCTACAAGGAACGACTTGCTGCTGATGGTGGGAAGTACATCCGGGTGGACCAGGCTGGTATCCCGCACTACAAGATGATGCGTGACCTGAAGAAGAAGCGTGCATCTGGGTCAGACATTGCGGGGGGGGACCTGGAATCGATCGATCAGATGGTACTTGTCAAGCACCTCTTATGAGTAGACCATTTTTGCAACAATTTGGTTTGGGATCTCCAGAAAACAATGCCCGGAAACGTCGGATCGGCCCTTCGTTGCAGTGCAGGGGTTCAGGCGCACGTGCATGGCACAGGTGACATACAAGAACGCTCAGCAGGGTATGCACCTGTAAAAGCCCGAAAGAGATGTCCCTCCCTATGGATCCAAAATGGTCGCTCAGGAGGTATGTGGGGGACAGAACCCAACACCATGAGCAAATGTTGGGGAACCCGGTCAGGGTGTGGATGCTTCCATTGTGGAGACCCCACAATAGCTCAACCAAATTCCAGACATTCGTGATCCCTTTTTTCCTCACCACGGTCGTCGCTCGATGGACTCGATGCCGATGGGATCTGGAGACGTGCTCTTCGAAAAAATGCTACCAGCCAGCTAGTTTGCCAGCCAAATCCTCTATACGATCCCAATCCACCCTTCCAACAAATAAAACCAACGGCCGACGTGAGGGTAGTCGAACTATTGGAGACCTCGACTGGAAGGTGCAGGTAATAAAACCAAAACACCCACGCCTGGAATCCCATGTTTGAGGGGGTGCAATATCTAATCAGTTCAGGTACTCCCCCCCACCTAGGACTTACTGAACATTAATGTTTGTTCATGACATATATTTTTTAATGCAATGAACTCACGTAGCACCTGATAGATCTCCATGTGAATGAATGACCTATGCAGTACTTGGGTGGCCTGCACCTGCCCTCCATTCCACTCCACCCGTGCAGTCGCTAGCGGGCCCAACTCACCTGCCAGCATCGGGACTCCCAAGCTATCCCTGTTCTCCACCAGAGGTGATGGCCAGAGCCAGCCCAGGAGGTCCCTGGCCCGTGGTGCCAATCCCCAACCAAAATCCGCCTGTTAGGTTCTGAGTCAGCCAGGTTATTGAAGACCCCTGGCGTAGGGCCAGGCAAGGACCATGTGACCCACGAACCCTTGTGTCGGCGCTGGCAGTCATCACGCTTGGGTCCCACGCAATAATTTGCATGGTCCCGCGGAGGATGCTGGACACACAGCACATACATGCACATACACACCGGCGCACGCGTACAAAAGGGCTGTCCAAAGGTTCACAGAGTGCGAACTTGCAAGAAGATCACCTGAAGCTGCTCAGGACTGTTGGGTAGTAACTGGCAGGCATGCACATGTTTTGCATGTCTTTTTGTAGCATGGTTTTCACCTGGTCCCTAGATTGTTTTGTTTCTACCATGTTCCACAGACAGACTGCGAGGCATGCACATGTTTTTGCAAGTTTTTGTATAGGAGGGTATTCATTTTCACCTGGTCCCTCGATTGCTTCTACCACAAACAGACTGCGGCCAGGTGGAACCGCATTGCATGGCTTCTGAAGCCGAAACTGCACATGTTCAAGCACATGCTCGAGCGATACTAGTCTAGGCCAGAAACTAGTACAGGCCAATGACCCATGGGTCTTCGGACTTGAGATCATTTGGCAATTGCACAGCCAAGGGCGCAACACACGGCATTGGGCGTGCTTCTCGGAGGAGGACAGCATCGGGGTGCTGGTCAGACACGTTTCGGGCCAGCAGTGCGAGAGCTACTTGATGAAGGTGGCGCGCTTGAGGCTGAAGGTGGCAAGGAAGCGCATGCGGAGGACCGAGGTTTTTGAGACAAGCTCCGGATCCATGCATAAATGTCAAACGACTTTGGAAGATTTTTGAATGTTAAACGATTTTGGAAGATTTTTGAGACAAGCTCCATGCATGAATGTTAAACGTACTTTGGAATAAGAGAAATTTGCGTTTCTGATAACAGTTTGGAGTCATATACGTTGCAGGATGGACACGGAGGCGGCATGCGGCATGGAAGCGGTGACCGGAGCACTGCTTAGAAAAAGTGCTCGGAGAGCGTGTGGGCAGAGTTAGGCAGTTTAAGCAGTTCATGTCGACATGTACTAGTTAAACCAGTCTCCCGGGTCCGCAGGGTTTTGAATTCTTTTCGTCGAGGAGACCAACATCTCGAGCCCGCGCATGCCATATGGAGGCATTGTCCATAAATTTGCCAAATAATTTCCTTTTGAACTCCTTCGATTAATATTGGTGTTCCTTGATTCTTTAACCTTCTTTAAAATCATGTTGATTCTTGGTGATTCCCTTTTAAACATCTATTGATTCCAATTTGTTCTCTTTTAAATATGTTTGATTCTTGGTGATTCCCTTTTAAACATCTATTGACAATTGTCTAGTGATTTCTAATGACCCTGCAGGCGGGAGGGTTTGCTGAAGACATTTACGGCATTTGAACGAATTGAACCATTTACAAGACTTAGTGTACCAATTGCACACTTTTGAGAATTGTCACAATTCTTCACTCTGACAACCATGTATGTGACCCACCTGATCGGACTGCACTTTTCGATCGTGGGGCTGCCAACGGTCCTGCCCAGTGGCATGGATGCAACATCTGCAAAGCACACTGCTCAGATACACATCGTATCACAAACTTCAATTCCATGTCAGGCATACCCCGCTCGTCACAGTACATGGACATTTCTCCTTCATGGCAACCTGGGATGCATGCGGGTGAAACCGGCTTCAACTAACTTGGTCACTTCAAACCTTGATGGCTCGTCAGCTATATTCGATGTCGATGGGACTCGTGATATCCACGAGTGAATCGACTTGAGGCGCGACATCTTCCACAAATGCTTCAGGAGCTCAGCATGGGTGAGCACAGGAGAATACATTGCTATCAGGTTGGCCCTTGCTGCCTCGTTGTCGCGTGTGGCCGTCAGTAAGTCTCTGAGAACCTCCACCGCCTTGACTGCTGCCAACAGTTCCAAACCTGCTATCACTTTGGTGGTGATGCGTTGCAAGTCATTGAGGACAGGCCCTGGTATTCTTTCAGAAAAGAAGAACCTTGACAGCACTTCGCTTCCTTTACATCGGAATGCTACCATCCCAATGCCTGCAGTTTTATCACCGTCCTCCATTTAAACATGCATCAGTAAAGATGACGAACCGCTCCGATCCTCCTCGTGATCTTAAAACACGAGGAGGATCATGCTGAACGAAGCTCTTGGCCCAAACAAGTTCTTCTCTCATGACATCACTCAAAAAGTTTCCGGGTAGTGCACCAGTCGACCTGGAGTGGCAAGTTCTCATGCGCAAGGACACTGCACGGCCAAAGGCCTGAGACTCTGCAAACTGTAACCTTCCACGAAGGGTGGTTGACGAGGCTGCCGAGAGGCTGGACTCGCTCAAAACCTTTGAAATGCTATCACAAATTTGTTGAATGCGGGACTCCTTATTCCTGACGATGATTTCCCCAAACTTGGCTCTACTCAAGTGAACTCAACTCCTAAGGCTGCGAAGGAACTACTCATGGGCATTCTCTTGGACTCTTTCATGGAATACTTCCAGCCAACTAGATCTAGGAAGCTCTCGGCTACCTGCTGAGGGTTACTTCCCGATGCAGCAACATCAATCTGCGTGTAGTCGTCGAAATAACTGGTCCACACCTGTCCAAAGAGTCTGGTGCCAATTTGCTGCAACGACCTCGACAGGCGGTTAAAACTGTATACCGCGGCCGAGGCCCCGAATGGGAGTACCTGCGACACGAACAGGTGAGGGCAGCCATCAGGATCGTAGACCTGAAGTACACTGCACCACAGAGACGATTCTCGAACTAGGAGCTGCTTGTAGGCGGAGTCTAAATCAAGCGTGCGGCCCATCAGAGTTGCAGCATCTTCCAAGGTTAGAGAAGAGTGAAGTTGCCCTTCCAACTTTTCACCGTCAGACAGCTCAACGCTGACCGCACGGTCCTTGCCAACCATGCCTGCAAAGGTCCTGCATAAGATGGCGATGCTGTCCACACCATCCAATTCTAACCGGTAGCTTGGAGAAAAGCTGGAATTCACGAGGCTAGCTGACATGTCATCAATCGGACGAGTCTTGTCAGACTGTCTGAGGCCAAACCTAGGCGAAGCGACGTAGAGTGGGCCGAACCGAGAAGTGAGCTGCTCGTGAGTGTAGGGGCCCTCAAGCCACCCACGCTGCACCTCTGACATGGCGCTGGCCCACACATCTGCTGCTAGGTGAGAGTTACTTCAGCTCAGGCTCACCCACCCACCCACCCCTTGATGCTTGTCAGAGGCGTTCGCTCCGCACACTTGAAGAACCTTCGACAAAGAAACATGATTGCATCAAAAAGTTTCAAGGTGTGGGTGCGGGGGTAATGAACATCGTGGACTCACTTCGTGGACAGGACTCGCTTCGTGGATAGTTACTTTTTGAATGCAGGAACCCTGCAGCTTTTTTGCTTCATCAAGGATTTGTGTTCGGTTCTGTTGTTGGTTGCTTTGCGTTGGTCGCTTTGCGTTTGGTTCTGTTGTTGCGGCTGCCTGGTCGGTCACAAAGGAGCTGCTGCTTTCCGGGTCCTCATATACGACCTTTCTGAACAGGTCGACGAGCATCGTGTGAGCATCGTGTTGGATCCGGAGGGCTTTCCGCTCGTGTTGTTCGTTCTGTCTTCTCAAGCATGTAAATGACATGTTGTTTTTGATCATGGTGGACAGTGTGGTCAGAATGTGGAAGCACAGTTCGTTCCCCCTTCATTGGCAGCACTACCAATCTTCGTTCGCCATGCACTACCTCAACAAGGGTCCCTACGAGTTTTGAGAGCCCTCATGGTTTGCAAGAGAAAGGTTGCAAGAGAAACCTGCGTCAATCCTCGAGAATCCTTCGCACAAGCGCTGCGGAATGTGTGAAGGTGTCAAACTTGAAACGCGTGCCGTTGAAATCAAGAGAAAAAGGCTGACTTGCAGAGGCGCTGAGTTCTGGGAGGGTCACAAAACACTGCCTTTACCAATACAAAACACACATGTCTAATTTTGCATGGGCCGTAAAACACGTAAAAATACGTAAAACAAGCCTCCGGTTCATGTCGTCAAGCCGCAATATGAAAAACGGGGGAATTCACCTCCTGCACCAGGACCGACCCAGCACATCGAGCAAGTTTGGACCTTCCTGTGACAAAAAGAACGTCTTCAATGGAAGGAAGATAGCTTTATGATGAAGACTAGAGAACAAAACATTGCTTTGATGCTATCTTGCAATATGAAGACTGGATAGCATTGCTTTATAATGCTTTATATTGCTTTGATGCCCAGGCAGGCTCCGTGTTGCAGAGCATTTCTTCACTGAATGCAGAACGGTCGGCAAACCTCACATCTGCAGCCTCTAATGATTACCTAAGGACCTTCATGGTGATTCCAGTTGATGTCCTTTGATGTATCCATCTGATTTCCGTCTAAACTCCTTTCGCCTCCTACTGACTTTCCTTTAATTTCTTTAGTTGCTTTCCTTTATTCTTCAAAGTATTGCAAACATCTATTCCACCAAAGGGGTAGCCCAGTAACTACACTAGAAATCCTGAATAATGCAATACAACACCCTACAATAATGTTTGCAATAATGAAACCATTCTTCTGGCATCTGAGTGTCTGTTGCATAATGTAGGCAAGCTATCATCCGCATCTATGCTTCTAGCTGCTTCTGGCATCTTAACATCTGTTACATACTGCAAGGAAGTCAAACTGAATCAGAAATCACACCATAACTCACCAAAATATATATATACCATCTCACAACTCCAGCCCCCATCATGGCGCCCCGCTCTGTCAAAATGAACATGAATCCATGCGTAAAGACATGAACAGTCATTGTTGCTTCCCAAGTGCAAATCATCTTTGTTTCTTCCAAGACTCCCATTCATCGACCACTCCATCATGATCCGCATGCTCCACACTGCCCGTGTGAGCGGCGTGGAAGGCACAGTGGGGAGCACCCGAGTAGGTGCGTTGAACGGCTCGCCGTCCACCAGGGCAGGGATCAGAGTGGTCAAGCCCGGCAAAATGGCCACGAAGACCATGTAGATGCCTGGCAGTAAACAGAAAACTCATCAAATACAGCAGCTTTGGCATGTCTTTTTTGTGTATCTGAATTTTAGCGTCAAACCGTACGTTGTAGAATCTTGAACAAATAATGATATGACATGGCATGAATCAGTTAGTTTCTGCTTTGTGTTTGCCATGTGTGGTTTGGCAAAAAAACGCTCATGAATAATCATTAATATGTGAAAAAGGAGCCATAATCCACAAGAAAAAACATGTGTGCTCAATTTACTAGCTGCTTTCAATCTGAGACAAACACTGGATTTCTTGGTATATGCCACTGGAATCTGCACCGAAAGCTTCCCATGATAAGTTTCGTGTGGAAGGCAAGGAGTGCAAACGCGCTCGCTCTTTCTTGTAAGCTGTTGGGAGTCTTCTGATGCATGCTCTGTGCTTCGTGCGACACTTGATGGCAGGACTGGTTCTGATGTAGCTAGTGTCAACGGCTTCTATGTCGCGGCCATGAGGATTCTGGTCCAGCTACGCTGATCCTCATCTTCTTCGTTGTTTTGCAAAGCCCAAACACCTGCGATACGGTGCGACCCCAGACTGACCGTAGATTGATGGCCTTGCGCCAAAAGATATTTTTGGCTCTTGTTCCCAGCTTTTGAGGACATCTTCCGTGTCGCGGATGTTGGGCTTGTTTTCTTTGGTGGGATGCGTACAGGATGAGGAACTCTGGTGAAATACCCCATGGCCCACGTCGCGACAGCTTGGGCTTTGGAGTCGGTCCTAGCTTGGTACAGCTAGTGTAGGGCCCTGTGGAGCACAAGTTGCTTCTCGTTAGGAAGCTCCTGCCCAGCATCCACACTTGCCATGTGAATTGCGCCGCTGGATTCATGGGTGGCTCGAGCTGTTGAAGTGACAACGTGTTCTCTGTGCTTTTGTCATGACTCTGTCTTGGTCCCCCATGCACTGCTGACTGCAGTGCACTGCTTTGACCATTAGATGAAAACCGTCTGACTTCAGCAAGCTAAGAAATTGTCTTCTACTTGAACATCACAGGCGACACCTTCAGAGCTAAAAGCTAAAGAATCCAACCGACTTGTTTAGGCTGGAGGCTGTAGTTCAAGGGCACCACATCACTTCCAACTCGTCCCAGTACTCGAGGAGCCAACTCCTCCTGAGTATATCAAACGTGCTCTGGCGAAAGAGTGCAAAAAATGCTATCAACATCCGACAATGCCAAGGTTTATCGCCCTTTCATCGACATTTCCTTTATATGTGTTGTTTCCTCCTTTGTAATCATCTTGATGAGATAAAATGAGTCTGGAACATGATGAGCATGGTCGTATTTGGGAAGCTGCTTCGAATATCATCCAGCTTGATGGTCTGAATTATGTAGTAATGTAGTACCACCCCACCAGAAAACCTTGAGATGAGCACTACTTTACTACTTGGCAGGTCAAACCCTTCTAAGCCTCGGAGTCAACAAGTCACACAAAAAAAAAGGTCCATAAAAGGTTCCCCACCAGTTTGCTGGTGCTTGTGACCCACACCTACTACTACTCGAAATAGTGTTCCTGAACCCTAAGGGGTGCAGGACTGTGGCCAAACCGTTTGGCACGTCTTTGTGTTTTGATGAACCCCTGGTTCTCATGAACGGCCCTGTGCTCTCCCAATACCCTCGAGCTCTTCAACTATCCCACTACTGATCATGTCTTCATCCATGCAAATCTTGCATCCGCGCTTAGCTGAGCCACTGAGCGCTGGAATTCCGGCTACAACTCGGCCAGGAATTCCTTTCAGCAGGACGACCTGGCCTTTTCCTGCCTACAACTCCTCCTACGAGTCTAGTCCAGTTTTCCTTCCCAAGGTCTTTCAAGATCGACTTGAAGAATCTGCCAAATCCTGCACAATCTGAGAAGCCCTATACATTCCCCAACCGTGTATATAAATCCCACTCTTATTCCTTTGCGCATGAGGTGGCGTTAAAATCACCATTGCTCTGGGCTGATGCAGGATTTGGTCCATCAGGTGTCTCAGGCTTTCTTGTTGAATTCCAGGTCTCATGCACCAAGCGGTTGAAGAGCTCCAAATGTTCCTCCCCTTGGTCAGTTTGTTGCCCAAACCACTTCTTCAGCATCTGAAACATCAGCTCCTAAGGTCGGCTCGCAATCAGGAGATTCGGAGATCCTTTGTTTGTTCCTTGTTGTACTCCCTTGTCTTACAACTCCCTGGGATTTGGAAGCTCCATTGAAAAAGAGCTTCATACCGGAGACCATGTTGATCTATTTGGATCCACCGTGAAGCCTGCGTTGCAGGTGCTCCCCTCTGTGATTGACATGGAGGAAACAACATCCAATAAAGACAAAAAAGACCGTCCACTTTTCGCTGAGCTGCTCGGTCGCAAGGTATTACCTCCTGAGTGTCTGGATGTCGATGGTTATGAGAGCAGCAAAAGCATTTCGCATCTTGGACTCGAAATTGTCGCAGCCTTTCAATCGGATGGACTGTTGAAGAGGGATGTCTTGGGATATGTCTTGTTGATCGTCAGTGATTGACTCAAACATATCTCCAACATACTCACAAAAACGCGAAGTGCCTTTCAGGTCTGAGCTCACCCAGGGCATTTTTGTCCGGTGGTAAGGCTCCCATCGGGTACAGTCCGCTTGGCAGCCAACCGTCTCGGTTCATCGGGGGAACCCCCTCCCCACCGGGTGCGATCGGTCGCGTGAATGAACACATCGACCGTTCTTTTTTGTGGAGCCCAACACATTTTTCTCTCTTTCTCATCATATTATAAATATATATATATATATTATACATTACATATATATATATATATGTATCTATATAATACGAAAAGGGAGCACAGTTTATGGGGAGAATATTTGGTAAAACGAATCCAAAAACACGATCTGGATGTTTGAGTGATCATCCAAACACTTCTGGATGTTTGGATGGATCAGCAAATGCGTTTTGTTGAGTCAAAGCCTCGAGTAAACTCATGATCTTATGTTGACTGACTGGCGGTCCTAAATTCATTTAGGCTGTAGGTTGCGGCTTTGCTCGATCGAACAATGTCAAGTACTACTTCATGCTGGAGTATCCCTGATCGGGAGGCCACTACGTCACCTCCCTTTTGTCTTATTTTAGTGTCTTCGGACAAACATCCTTGGGTAAAAGCCTTCTGGGAACTCACGCTCCATGGAAACCATTCTTAGGGCCTCCAGCATGCTCCAACCACCTCCTGAGCAGCTTGGACCCCACCCTCCAAATCGACAGAACTTCGAGGTCAGGGGAAGTCCTTCCAAGATCGACATAGACCCCCAAATCAGCCAAAGAGGCTGTTCTGGCAAAGCCTTGAGATCTGCGAACATCGTCAAGCCGATGTAGTAGAGGAGAGGCATGGAAGGCAGAACGAAGGGAATGAAGTAGAACCAAAACTCCACCTGAAGGGGCTGGAATTTCTGACTCCCAAGCGGTTTCCCTGGAGAATGAAGCACATAACCACATATGTTTCCCCACATATATAGTTGGATTAGAGTGGGGAGACCATGGGAAACCAATCCCCCAAAAAGGTTTAAGGTTATCCACTGACTGGGTAGGATGTGGCTCAAAAATTCCCGAGGACCCACAAGTGTTAGTCCATTTCACCCTCAAAATCTGTGAGTTTGGATGGTCATTTGGAGAATTGTCGAAACAAGGTTTATTTTGCATTGCACAAAAATGTAACACGACTCGAGTGAAACGTCAGACCAGGTTCGTTTTAGCATTGGTTGGTGCGTCTTGGTTTCAAATTTTAGCAATTACGGCCAGGGTCCAGGGATACTGTGATTTGGCATGCTGCTATGCTTTTTCAGTGAAGATTGTCGAGCTGTCCGGAGCAAGAACATAATTAATTGTTCGAGTCTGTCTTGCAAATCACCATTTCATCACGGTCACTAGCTCATTCAAGTTGTTGGAATACTGCTGGTTGATCTCCACGTTGAAGTAGTATCCTTCAGTCAAACGTGGGGCCAATGCTGGTTCCAAGGTGGAAGAATAAGGCATCAAGGACAAAAAAAGTTTGCAAATCACACCCAAAAGTGACAAGCTACTGCATCCGGCCCCGGAACGTTCCACGTAGTACTTGCAGTTGCTTGCATACATTCCGGTTACAAACACAGACAAACAAACAAACAAACAAACAAGGCACACATGACACAAATCTGAGATGTGTACCGTTTCCCAATATTCAATAGGACAAACAACCAAAACTGATCAGCAATGAGAGGGAACAAAACACTGAACACATGGTGTGTAGAATAATTCCATCCTGAGAGCAAACTCACACTTCTGGTCTGATCACCCTGAAAAGACCCATCAGTTTTGCAGGTCTGGCTCCGGGTGTTCCTTGGGGATTCCGCTGGACATGTCAAATCCGTGGGGATTTGTTGGGCAAAAGGATGCGTGTTTGAAGAGTCGAGATGAGGAGTCGAAAGCTAAACTCATTCCACCTGTTTTGAATTTTTTGCGGGGATGCCAATCCCCCAAAAGGCCAAAGGTTATCCACTGGCTAGGTAAGAAAGTCGTGTCAGCATATGTCAGCATCTACTTTGGACAGACTTTCATCTGGACCCTTTTCAGCATGCAGCATGGCACTCTTTTATATTTGTGCGGAGAGTAAACATCGGGCAAGATGATCTAAAAGTACGATCCTCTCAAAGGGTGCCTCTCATTAGCTGACCATGGCCCACAAGCACACAGAAACAACAAGTTAACATTTGGTCTTTAAAAGGAGTCACTTTTCCGTTTAGGCTTGAAATCGCTTCCCGCAAGCTCGGACAGCGACAGAAAACGGCACTCCATTTCGTTCCCAGAATGTACACTGCACGAATCACAGAATGAAAAACTTCCTGGACTGCTTCTCTGCCTTTCAGCACCTTCTGTGCTAGGTCTCCAAAGAGAAGCGCACTGCCAGGTCTCAACATGTCCCAAGACGGTGCTCTACTTCCAAGCCAAAAGAACCCCGTTTTGCACCTGCCCAGGCTCCCTGGATGATCAGATGTTCCACGGAACCTGAGACGGCAACGTGCCGACACCACCACAGGTTGCTTTGACGGTTTCATGGATGAAGTAGGGGAATGTTGATTCATGGGGAAAACACGACAGCAACTCGCCACACTACTCCACATCCGGCTGGGCCACTCAAAGCTTTTCCAATCATTCCCCGGTCTTGAAATCCCTTGAAAAGGGCAGAGCTGACCTTTGATGAGCGTTCGCACGATTTTCCAACAAGTGCTGAACACAAACAAAGAGAGAGTCGGATGATCCAGCTGCCAAACTGTTTCTTGCCAATCAGCTAAATTTAAAGCTCCTCATGTGACCTCCTTTTGACAAAAAACAGATCGACAGGATTCAATGGGCCCATTCATGTTCTGAAGAACCCCATGTTCTTTCCAACCCACGTGTGACCCACGTGTTCCTCATCTTTGGCTTCACCCGGCCACTGAAGACCATGAGGAGCACTGCCAACTTCACAGGCATCACGAGGATCGGCCTGGTCCTCTTTGGATCCCTCAAGAAGGTGCCCACCTGTCGGTCGAGGGATCGCAACGGTAAAACCGGGCGAACACGCACTCCGATGATCCGAAGACACAGACCAAACACCGGGTACACCCAGAACACGTGGTTAGGAGAGGTTGTTTGAAGGCTGTAATGCAAACTTGCAACAATGTCAAACAACCAATAAAAGGCTATAGGCTATAGATTGAATTGAAAGCCAAGTCGACCGTACCCCCTCCTCCCGCGCGATCTCGGCCCGCGCGCCTCGTACGTGCACCAAAGGCGACTGAAGTACCGATGCGACCACAGAATCGTGAGCTGTTGGGACTGATCAAGAAAGCCTGGCGACGTCAGGTCTACGGCATGTGGAACAGAACGCCGGCCTGACGCGTGGCGCGTTCTGAACCAACGGGCGTTTCTGTGGATGGTAATAACATCTCGCAGGCTCGCAGCATGTTTCCTTTTTCAGTCTGCCTGTCCTGTCAGCCTGTTGGTTGTATGTAAAAAATGGTAGGGATTCTACTATTATGCACCAGGAGTCTTGCCAATTGAAACATCTTTAGCGAAGCTGCAGAGGATCAAACGACCAGCAGTGTTTACTCGTACTTGGAGCTAATTCTTGTCCTGCAGGATGTTCCGGAGCCTAATTGATAGGTTTTTCAAGAGTAGAACACCATCGCTGAATCCGCGGAAACGAAACCAAACGCATCACAGCTCTCAAGTCTCAACAGCTTGGCCTCAACACTCAAGCCATCTCAAGCCTCAACAACTTGGCCAATTCAACCAACCACCTCTCGCGCAGGCCGCGGCATCTTAATCAATCATAAACATCCAGCAGAAAAATGGCCGAGGCCATGCAGAATCAGCATCATGTAGCTTCATCAATGTGATATCATCGGAGTTAACTGGAAATTTTCCGTCACCTTGGCAACTATCAACGCACTGGTCAACCTCATCGGGCCAAAGGGACGTTCCCTCTTTGTTCAGGACACCAAGGCATTGTGAGCGTTCCGGGACTTATGTGGAAAGTGCCTAAATACACAAAAAGAATCATCTCGCCATGAACCTGGTCTTGCGTAATATCACGTAAAATATATGCATGGAATTATTGTAGAAAAAATCATTTGTCGGTGGCGTGTCAAGGCTTTCTCGTAAATTCAGTGACGGCGCAATGCAATCTACCAACTGCATACGTCCTTTTCACAATGAAAAGCAACACCTACACACACATTACGCATGCATATATTAGGTCTATCCTATTATAGTATATACCAGTAACAGTGGATGATGATGGTTAGGTTGGTGGATGAACAAACAAACCCATATGAGAACGGTTCACCGGGGTTCACCAATGACCGGGGACGCCTGCCAGGCCAAAGATCCCTTTCTGCTTGAGCTCCTCGTCATGCTGCGCAATGCATAGCTTGTCCAGGAAAACCATGGCGGTTCTCAAACCACAAAGCCGTTTGATCCTCAGCGCTCCCAACGGTTGAAGTCCAAACAGACCAGAGCTTTGTGGCCAGCTTAGTCTGGCTGGCGTTTTTTGGGGGAGCATGTCCAAAAGTCTACAAGTTGTCCTGGAAATGTTGCAAAATTGATCAAGATTGTGGATTTGCCTGTCGTGGCTTAGGCTTCAGCGTGACAGTTGCAGCATGGACAGGGTGGCTCTTTTCAAATGTTTGAGCTCCTTCAAAACCACTGGCTGGTAGATGAATCCACTGGTATATGTTTCGGGTATTCGGTCATCTTTTCATGAGTGCAACATTTAATTGTTTCATACTATATACCCTGACTGTTGGTGTTCCACCTCCCTTTGAGCAAAAAAGATGTGTTTGTTACGTTTCCAGATAATGTGATCTTTGGGAACTCAAATGAATTCAGGCAGAATGTTGCCTTGTGAGAGCCGGGAACTCAACTTGAAGGGCTGGACGAGAATTAGCGTCCACCACACCATTATATAATGTATAATCCTTGATATGTCGAAACAAGCCAATATACTGTAAGGAATCTGCAAAAGAAACGCTAGATTCAAAAACTACATCCGGAGGAGATTGCAAACCAAATGATCAAACAAACAATAGGACCAATGCGGCCTGTGATCCGTTGCCAGAAGCACAGGAAGATCCAGAAGACTGCGCTGACGCTGAGTTGGATCCAAAGCCTCAAAGTGCTTTGGCAAACACATAAAAACACAGACTGTCAAAAACATATTCCAACTGAATTCACCAGTGAAAACAAGCAAAAAACCAACCCGAACAGCCCGGACATCGGGTCTAGCTACCGACCCCGGACATCGAGGTGAGAACCAACTCCGATCTGGACTGGTGGAGGTGTGAAGCACATCTCCCAGTCAAAGGCTTCCATGATTCCTAGCCACCGAGCCTTCGCCTTTCAATTCTTTTTTCGACTGCTTGGGACGCACGTCAGCGAGGGGAGCAGCTGCACTCACACAGCGGAGCAGCTGCAGGGGCAAACAAAGGCCTTGCGATGATGTCACATCGACTGTTTAAAGCCAGAAGGTTAAAGAAGTTGGACCGATGACCGATGATTCCCGAAAAACAGCATCACACCAGCCGAGGTAGAACAGTGAAACTCGCCTCAAGGTTCTTGGTTCAGTCTTCCCAAGTGGTCCTTCCTTCAACTGAGAACTGGGAGCCAACCAGACTTGAAGTGATACAAACTACCAGCTGGGAAGACTGAGCCAAGTTATTCAACATGGGTACAAGTTCCTGCGGTGACTAGGCAAGAAGCTCCATGGGCAACAGCTTCATGGCAAGTAGAATCCCCACCAGAAGACCTGAGAAAAGCAGGAGCGAATCCGTGGATTCGCGTCGACGGGCAAACTAAAGGAGGTGAATGGTCAAAGGTACTGGTAAATCTACATGAGGAATGGTGCGAAATGGTGTGCACTCAACTTTTTTCGACATGCGAAGGTGATGCCCGCACCTGGGGGGCTCGGATGGTTCGATTCACCTGCAGTGAAGTCCCATCCACCTGCTGATACACGAAGAAGGAGTCCCCTACAAACATTGTCCGTTCCGACCTTTCAATCAGTTGTAGACAGGAACCTGGAACGAAGAACACCACTAGTCACTATACTACTACGATGTCATTTGTACTTTATACTATAGTACTATAGTACTCTTAGTGGTTTGTATTACAGTAATTATATAAAGAGATATATATATATATATCACATGTGCATATCGGTGTATAATGTTGGGGTATATGCATACAAGCTACACCCAAAAAGGGGGCTTGCTAGCCAGGAAACAATATGACATCAATATACATCAACCTGTAACCTAAGCAAAAAAGACACAGAGTGGTGCTAGTGTAGTCAAGGAGTCAAGAATCAAAAGAAAACAAAGCAGCCATAGACAGCCAATTTTATATGATATGGTAAATCAACGACCCAAAATTCTGTCACTTCTGCACAAAAACACTGAACACAATACAAAAACACCTACTGAGAGCCTACTCATCTTGGAGTTGGCGGACATTCCAACGGACTCAGGGGTTTGTGCATTCCAATGGACTTTGGGGACAGCCAAGCCAGGCCAGTGAACGAAGCAACTACTACCGTGCTCCATCCAGCGTGAAGGGCATTGGGGAGGGAAGGACCGCCCCTTGAGTTCCAACCGCCGACGCCATGCAAAAACACCTTGTCAGGAGGTAGTTGGAGCCCGTCCGGGCACTGAAAAACTGTGAATGTGTTTCCTCACCACAAGCCATGCAACAAAACAACCCTACTAAGAGCCAGAGCCTTTTCGCCAGGATGCTCACGAAGAGAGTAGCTACGAAGGCCGCTTTGGAGTTGTAAACAATCAGCATTGAAGCCAACTTGTACCAACCTTGGCCGTGCAAGCCAGCTCTTAAGGGGCATGCCACTGGCTGTGCAAGCCACTGCCTTGCAATTGCAAGCATCAACCTCTTGAAACGGCTCGGAATTGTGCTCACCCGAACTGCTACGTTTGGCAAAGTGCAGCAGAGAAACGTGATGTTTGCCAATCATGACTGAGAAACTCATCGTAGTGTTCCTCAGCAAAGTGGCATGATATTCTAAAGGAAATCTTGCAACGAAACGTCGTCAGCTTCTGGCACGCTTCTAGCACCTTTGTTGGGGCTCGGTTCATAACTTTTGCACATGTGTGTACATTGTACATGTTTGTGGTTCGCTTCTTCTGTTGCTATCCCGTGAAAAGAAAGAGCTCTGACGTTAAAGAAACTGGGGATCGCACCGCCATCCAACTGTTTTCAGAACAACCACACGGTAGCTGCTCAACAAAAGCAAACACCGCGCTGTTTCAGCACGCACTCGCTGACTGAGAGAAGTCAATCGAGCTCTTCCCAAACTGGACCCAAGCATCAGTTCAATTCAGATACACCAATGGCTCAGGGCATATGAGGACCAATGGACAGCATGAAATCGTGCCTCTACAAGTTGACAGAAAAGTCGCTGAAGAAACGTGACGGTTCTCACCTCAGTCAAACAAACCGAGGATGATCAGAAACACCATCCTATCCTCTCCAACTCCTCCAACCTCCACACCGATCAAGTCTCGGTCTGGCGACTCAGCTCGTAGTTCCGATGGTCGACCTGCGGTCGCGCCGGCCACCGAAGTTCCGACGCAGCGAAGGGCCGGGTGGAAAAGGAGAGCCTTCCACTTCTCAAAGGCTACCTGCCAGTGGGGATCATGGGGGAGCCACAACGGTTCAATATGGTTCAATATATATATATATATATATGTATAGGGAGAGAGAGAGAGAGAGACTAGCACCACAACCAGCACCACCAGCACCAGCACCGTCATCGCCGAATCGACCCGACCGTTCCAGAAAACGGTTTCGGTCCTGCAGCCAGACCGGTCATCCCCAAAACCCAGTGGGCCATGGGGTCGCCATGGAGTTTGCATGGATGTTCTCCATGGAGGTCTGGGCGTCTCCGTCCTGCCCCTTCCAAAACCTGGAAATCTGAAGAGCCAGAAAGAGAGCTCTGAATGTTGGCACCAAGAAGCGCCTTGTGCAAAGGGGTTGCTGGGTGGGACTGGGTCTCCCCACAACACATCCACAGCATTCCACATCCACCCGAAAACGGGGGGCCGCAAACATATGCATGGACACTCAATAGCATGTGGATGACCTCCCAACAGGTCGGGCTGAGCCGAAAAGATACACTCCTCGAATCATCATGGAAGTGGACGATGGTCCCCTCATTGACCAGGTCCATTGACAACTATATAGGTGGTTTTTCACTTCCGATTCATGATGAGTCCAAGGAGTGTACCGTTTCTGAAATCCGTGGAAAGTCATGAAAGTCAGGGTTCTTCCACAAGTTTTCCCACCACCTATACAATCATTTCTTTGACGCACCGATATCAGATATCTGCTCAAATCCCCTAGGCCCTAAGTTCTGATCAACCCAACCTCTTGGCTCGCCGGTCGGCACCGTCTTGGCCGAAAGCGGTCTCCCGGTTGAACACCGCCCCCGCCTGGAACATCCCAGGGTCGGGTGGCACGAAGTGCTTGGCCCATCCACTCCTAAGCGGCGACGGAGGAGGAGAAACACCGAGGCCGGCGGACGGCGAGGTCCCAATGGGTTGTTTTGGGAGCGGCGAGGTCCCGAGCGATTGGTTGAGAGCTCTGTTTTGGGGGGAGGAGAAAGGAGCTGTCGAGCTGGTGGTCCCAGAACCCCAGAAGCTCGGAGATGGGCAACAGAAGAGCTCTCCACAGGGGACTGCCTCAATTGATAAATCCACTACGTACCAAAACCACTGGTTTTTGGAGCTACGTGGATGATTCGGGAGGAAACGGGCGAAAATCCGATCCGCCTGATCCGCCAGGACTTCCGTGGACCCGCAAAACTGGTGCTCTGAAGAGCTTTCACCAATTGCTCTTTCTTATGTAGCAAAGACGTTGATTCGTGGGCCTTGATTCGCTCAAGTCACAGCGAAGCTTCTTAGCAACATGTGTTTTTCTCACACAAAACCTATTGCAAAGCCGACTGCTCTCATCCCCAGGGATCAATGTTTGACACAAAGCGATGCTGTCCTTTAGAAGCATCTCCATGAAAACTGTGGATTTCTTCGTCCGAACTGCCCTGCAGCTGCCCTTCATGGGGATCACCCTGAGAAGGAATTTCAATAATTTTGTATTCAGTTTTGGAGAACTTTGCCTCCTCCAATGCACAGCCTTGTCCTGCGTAAAACATACCTGTTCCACATCCCTCAGCCCTGAACCCTTGGAAGGAACACCACGAACACAACCAACTTTCCACGAAGCGTTGTAAAAGGGAATGGCCCTTTGGTATTTGGGGCATTGTAACTATCCGCAAGGATCCCAAAAAACACACTCATGATACTGATGCTATCTGACCTCGGAATAAACATCCGTGCTTTCCGTTCATTCAGCTCTCGTAGAAGAGGATTCCTCGAAGAATGGGCACATTGGCCAATCAGCAATGGTTGTTCTTTTATATGCCCTGAACAACCAGCCTGAGTTCTCTGTTTGCAGGCGGACTCACTCATTCATCTACTGACCCGCATGGTACTATTCAGGTAGGATCATTCCAAAATCCAATACAAGTCCATATCCTTTCCCAAATGCTCCACCATCCCCATCCGCTGCACCGTGGTGTACACATGGGAAAAAAGTTTTGGGCCCCTGGGCCACCGCTCCACTGGTGGCAAGGAGTAAAAGAAAGAAACACGCAACTGCTTTCAAGGTTCAAGCAAACCTCCAGCGGCACCCCACGCAGCAACTCGGCGTCCACTTCAGTCCGTAGCTCCCGCAGGGTGTGTGATGCTGACATGGCCCGGAGGGCCTAGCGACAGTGTGAGAAATGTGGATGAGACTTGTATAATAAGTTCATGGAAAATACCTGAAGACGTGATCAATTGATGGGGGTTCAACATGTCACTCAGGGTTACTGCTGGACTGGCTAGACTATCCAGAACGGCATGAAAAGAACATGTAACGGTAACGTATGTTTCAAAGGTTTGTCTTGTCCCTTGAGCATCTGATACTTCTTTGAAGGGTCTGAAGGGTCTGAACCGCATGAAGCCTGCTTCAAACTGCACTCTGATGGTTTCCCCGGCATGACTGGCATGACCTCCAATTGGGTCACTCTCGACCAAAATGGATCGCCACATTCAGGTTTTCTTGGGGTCTTTACATTCCTCGTAACTGAGCCAAGGGCTGCGGGGACGTTCCAAGGACGTTCCGTCAAGGGGGGTGTTCTTGGAAGAGCTAGCGGGCTAGCAGCGGCTTGCATTCATGACTGTCAAACTTCTTCCATAGTCATGCTACAAGAACCCTTCGCGTAGCTTCACGATCGGCTTCGGAAGCTAACTGGCTCACTCAATTCAGGGTGGCTATGAAATGCCATGAATCCCACCCTAGAGTCTAGTGTCTAGTCTGTAACATGTCCACAGAAACACCAGTTCTCCCGATTTGCTCACCACGATGGATGGATTTGTCTGGCAAAATCTCCAGTTCATAAGCTGGGAAAAACACACACGTTAGAACGATAACTATCATGATCTTCCAACAATTGCAACAGTCTGCCGAACTGGGCTGCTTTATAGTATAGATGAAACATGATGAACCGGCAAACCATTTGCAGAGTTGGAAGATCTAGGTATGCCATTCCCCCGGCTCTTCAAGGGACCTTCTTGAAACCCTTCAACACCACCAATACCACCGACACTGTCACCTGCAGTCGTGGCATCGCCAGGCGCTCGCGGCGCATCTCAATGAGATCCTGGGCGATTGGTCGTACAGCGTTCGTCAAACAACTTAGAAGCAATGGCCTCCAACCTAGAAGCGATGGTCTCCAACCTAATAGCGATGACCTCCAACCTAATAGCGATGGCCTCCA